GGTTCATCATCACGACCAGCGGGCTCTGCTTCGCCATGTGTTTCTTTATCCTGATCCTGAACAGCCTAGTCCTCCGGCACTACATCAAGAAGTATAAGCAGCTGATCCCCCTACTTTACACATCCATGTCACTGTGTGACATAGGGAATGCTATCTCTGCTTTCCTGACAGGAGCTCTGCTTCTAATGATCATGTGCAACTACAGGTCCCACTCAGACCCCTACCCGACCATGACCTTCATGGTGAAGCTGACCTACATCCTCTTCTCCTTAACCTCCCGGGTGTCCATCTTCTTTAACACCATCCTCGTGGTCATCAGGACCATCAACGTGGTTTTCCCAACTTACACCATTAAGAGGGGTAGAGTGATAGTGGTGCTGGTGGTGGGCCAGGTCTTGTGGCTCAGTGTTGCCGCCATTGATATTGTAGGGCTCCAGCAGATTCTGCCATACTTTGCAAAAATGAAGTCGGAAACAAACGAGATCCCGTCGACACAGTATGACGTCCTTGTTGATTCACTAGTGGTCAACCCTCTTACAGGTTTCTTTTTCATTTACTACATCTTTGACAAGATGTGCAACATCCACAATTTCAACATCATCGGCGTATATGTCCTGGTGAAAGGGGTGCCTTTTGTCCTCCCATCTGCCATCTCTATAGCCTGCATGGTCATCCAAACTTACTATCTGATCATTAGAAGCAGGGCAGGTCGACACAGCGCTGTTAGTCGTCGGATCACCATCACCGTCCTCTACCTCACCACTGTCTTCGTTGCTTGCAACATCCCGGACTTTGTGCTGAACCTGGTGTGTCTGGGAGTCATATCCATCTCCACGGACAACCTCCCCACTTACATGTGTGCCACCTTTGTCTCCAGCGTGATGCTGCCTTTTGTCAACTCCCTCTTCAACCCCTTCATCCTCCTCATCAGAGGCAGCACTCTCAAGAAGTCGGTGCAGAGTTACTTCTGTGGTCCAGACTCCTTCAGGTTCAATAGAGGCAAGGCTAGTGGACTTGGGGATTTTTCCAGAGAGAAGTTTGATTTGTGGAAGAGGAGATCGGATGGTAACAGAATGATTCGGAGGAACGATAATATGAGTTTGTCTCGCATGGACAAGTAGGGCCAACAACTTAATAACCACCTCGTGACCAAACGGCTTTCATACAAAAAAAATCTTTCAGAAGAAACTGCTTTAATTTGTGTCATTTGTTTTGTATACGGCATGATTTTATTATGTTGAAGACCGCTAAATTATTTGTATTCGAATTCTTATTCAAAATTTATTTTTTCCTTTTCACCCTTTTGAAAAAAGGCAATAGTGAAAGGTTACGAATGGAGGTTTTTGCAGAAAAACGTGGATTTTGGGGAACGAGATAGGTGGGTTTAAATATGTCGTGTGTCCTTCCGTCCGTTACCATGCAACGAAAAAGTTGGGCGCGCGCGAGGATTGCTTGCGGAGATGTGATGTATAGATAGCCTGTGATCTATGAATGCGCGGCGCGACTGTGTATATGATGCATGTAATGTATAATATTACTATTAATTAGGTAATACGCCCAATTTGTACGTGGCACGCGTAGTGTATTGATGTGTACACGAGTATAGTTTACCTTTGATGATAATTTCTTGAATTACAGATACAAGTTAAGTTCTACGGCAATTGAACTGAATTTCAAGTGTTTCCCATATTTGATGCATAATTGATCAATATTATTATCATGAAGATTGAAGTGAGCTGATTGGAGCTTATAGTTATACTTAAATTTATAGTATATGTGAAATGGAAATCTAGCGTCCGCCAAAACGAAACAACGGGCGCAATTCTTGTTCAGAGTGTTTATGATTGTATTTATTCTTAAATCTTCTTTTTCATTTTACAAACCTGACCAGAGTTGATATGCTTGTATATGTTTTTAATTGAAATGTCTTAAGAATTGCTGTACGTGATATTAATAACATTTGCTGCTACAAAAAGGTTCATATTTACTGTAATACAAAATTGAATCAATCCTGAATAATGGAACTCTAACAATTTAACTATTCTAAAAGAATTATTGTGAAGCAATCAAAACTTAATAAACCTTTAGGAGAGGGGGGGGGGGCGTGGCCATTTCCCTTCTAAATCTGGCGGTTGATCGTTGATACATGTCTTACATGCAAATTATGCTGTGTCAAAAGATTCAACCGCCTGAGCGCCATTTATGAAGAGTATATCATGTGATTTAGGGGAATATTCTATAACGCCTGAATTGTCCGTAAATAGTAGCCATGCGTGCCTTCAAACCTCTTGTAAAGAAATTTAAGCGGAAGTTCAATGATCAACGATGTAAATTGTAATCCAGAAAATTGTCTAGCTGCAGATGTTCATTAATCATTATCCATGAGTCATGACAAATTTATGCGAACTTGAGTACTATGTCAGATATCATCATATTAGTTCCAGGGTGTAATAGCTGACGCAGTCTGTTGAACCCATGATCTTTAAATATTGTCAGCACGTTTTTAGTACCACGTGCTACCCATTTCTCTTATATGTCTCTTATATTTATGGGGGAGACTTTGATCATCTAGATTTAACTTGGCGCTAACAAGTTAATGCTCTTTATGGTACGGCACCAGTTTGTCGGGCACGTGTTACCCATTTCTCTTATATTTATGGGGGAGACTTTGATCATCTAGATTCAACATAGCTAACAAGTTAAAGCTCTTTAATATTAAGCCTTGAAATATAATAATATTGCCATACTTCTAACATAAAAATGTCATAATATTCAAAACAATCCCCACAATCCCAATGCTTGTCGCATCTTATTAAGATGGGGGGGAATGCAACGTCAATTAATGTCAATTAATGTCAATTAATGTCAATTAATGTCAATTAATGTCAATTAATGTCAATGTCAGTTTTGCAAAATTTTGGAATACTGACATTAATTGACACGATATTTTTCGACCAGAGATTATGTAGTTCTACCATATTTTTAGCACTTTAGAACGTTTATATCATCAATTTATTCACTACTATCACATATGGAAATGTGAAATGTGAAAAAAATTCAGATCATTAAACAATAAAACTAAAATAATACGGTTTTCCGAAATTTAATTTTCTTAAATGGGCGTGGTCATCCAAGGGCGTGGTTCTCAACATCATCAGAACTTAAAACCCACATTAAACGAAATGCCTTCATGACATTTATATTTGAATAACGAATCTTAAACAGCTAACATTACTCCTTCATACTAAAAAAGCCGATTCTATATATTTTACCTGTATAAGAAACCAATAAAATATGGGCGTGGCCGGTGGGGACCGAAGATGGAAGAGTTGGAAGCTGAAATTTTTTTTGGTGGTCTTTGAACCTAAGGATCAACAGATAAAAACATACTCATAATTATTCAAGGACATTTTGTTTTTTTGAACCGGTCTAACTTACATAGACGTGAATATCTTGAATATTTATCGAATAATGATAATCTCAAATTTCAAGACAAATTAATGTCAATTAATGTCAATTAATGTCAATTAATGTCAATTAATGTCAATTAATGTCAATTAATGTCAATTAATGTCAATTAATGTCAATTAATGTCAATGTCAGTTTGGGGTTTTTATGGAATACTGACATTAATTGACGTTGCATCACCCCCTTAAGATGTCTAGATTTAGGATTCTTAATTTGTGTTAGGAGATGAACTTCCAGATATTAAATAAGTCATTGACCTCCACGAGACAGAGATAATACCACCAACAAGGATTTTAAACGATAACGACTCCTGTCCGACAGCACTATTTTCTTGTGTTTGAAGTGATATCTCAAATTTGGCACATAGAAATTCACCCAAAGTTACACAGATCGTCAGTCCTATAAGTATAACCATCATACTTTATGGAAAGTTTCAAGAAAATCGTATGGTAGGATCTGACGTAAACTATTGTCCGAACAACCTATTTTCGGAGCCAGACAGGAGTCGCCCAATCATTTTAAACAGTGTATAACGGCGTTAAATAAAGCTATCAATATTGCCACTTTGCCAGGCACACTATAAGTTACGGGAGTATTGGTTAGATAATTTCTTAGAAAGAGTGATTGTAACACCTCAACATGGCGAGACAGATTGAAAGCGGAAAAATATGGTGAAATTATTTAAAAAAGCATTAACGACCTACTAGTACTGAACAGTGATTTAAACAGTAAATCATCATTACAACACTCCAAATCTATTACATTTATTGAGTATTATGTATCCGTGTATCGTGATGGAAATATTTTAGGCGGGTAAAAGCCAGATCAAACCCTGGCTCCATAATATGGAGGCTTCGTTTTTATTTTGTATTGAAAAGCACTAATACATTGTAATAGTTACGGTTGTACTTATAGTAGATACAGGATATTCCTAAAGACTTATCCTTTTTTCAGTCAAAAAAATCATAAGATATGGTATGGCTTAATTCTGCAAAATTGTATGCAATTTTATGATTTAAAGCTTGCGATGGTCACCTCATCGCTCCTGCTAGGTCCCTACTCCCTAGGTCCAGTTTCCTTACCAGGGAATCAGTTTAAATTCTTGAATTCAAGCAATTCATTGATCGAAATGTTAGATTTATGACTATATTTTGAATTTTGTTAGTTTTCGGGTTATGATGGGAGGTTCAGCGGTTAAGTGTCAAAAATGCTTAAAGACCTCTGATTTTAAATTGTATAAGCACTTTTATTAAAAGGTGCAGCGCGAGCTTTATGGTTACGAATAGAGCAAGAATTAGGGTTAACTGGTTAAGATTAGATGAAAGGTTGTGGGTTTCGACTGATCAAGATAAACGTTTGGATCACATGATTACTCGGTTAAATCTTTGCAACAAAAACGAAAATTCGAGTAACTGTTTTGAACTTTGACAATATCTTTAGACACTGAGACAGTAATTTAACACAGGTTGCTTTCATTCCTCATCACTGATTCCAAAAAGGCAACAATTTAACAATTCGAAGTAAGAACTCACCTCAAACCATAGAGTTCAGGGAAGGACTGGGGAACAGTTGGACCAGCAGGTCTCGTAGGTCGGAATCCTCCCGGTCCAGGAGCAGGGGGGCCTGGTCTGGGGGGCTGCGCGTACATCTGGTGATATTATTTGTCAACTTCACTTCTTTTTGCTTTTTATCCCCTAAAAAAATAACGGCCAGTAGGGCGATGATCAACGTTTTCATAGTATAGCATCCTGGCTAAGGAACATTTAGTTTCTGACGACAAAAAGGAAAATATAAAACTCAATATTTCACTCTCAAGTTATTTCACATGGATTGGTTTATTAGCTATCTGGTAACAAGCATGTCTCTTAGCATCATACTACATAAATGTTCGTAACATTTCTTAATCATTCACTAAAAATGGACGCATTTTGGTTTTGACATCTCTGATCACCCCCGCAGTCGGTTATCAAAGATCGCAATTTATTAATTCCCTCGAATACCTCGCTCTCGCACCACATTTTTAACACAACTCCATAGTCCATACTCTCCCAATAACTAGGGAAGAGGTTAAAGAAAACTCGCCAAGCTGCATCTCTCATTAAACCACCACTTAAGCTAAAAATAGAACTTGAATCACAGCAAGCTGCTTTAATTTTGAAGAATTTTATGATTTTTCTGACCACTTAATAGTTGATTATCAAATGTTGGAGTAGTTCACTGTTTATTACTACTATATAACAAATAATTTGAGCCTGAAGATGGCGTTGACGCTGAAAATTTGCCTATATTCCTAACTTCCTGTTTCATTTGTCCTTGTCTCTTTCAACCGGATATTATCCAACTATAATTAAAAGAAAGAGGGAATTAAGATATGGGAGGTATAAGAGTTATTGTAATGTGGTGCTTGACGTGAATAACGTGGGACCCATCTAATTTCAAAGCTGTATTTACGAGTGGTAATGGGTGTGGTCTCTGTTACAAGCTCATGGGCTATAATATAATCGCTGCCATTCACCAAGTAAACTCTTCATTTACATAAGAGAGGATTAGTATCGCAGCAGAAATATCATTTAATTTATAATAAGTTCGGGCGCAACAGCTGCCCTTTTTCAGTATAATTAGGGTTCACGCCTCACAAACCGTTGTAAACATGGTGGGGCGTGGTTCACTCACCGGGGGCACGCCTCACAAACCGTTGTAAACATGGCGGGGCGTGGTTCACTCACCGGGGGCACGCCTCACAAACCGTTGTAAACATGGCGGGGCGTGGTTCACTCACCGGGGGCACGCCTCACAAACCGTTGTAAACATGGTGGGGCGTGGTTCACTCACCGGGGGCACGCCTCACAAACCGTTGTAAACATGGTGGGGCGTGGTTCACTCACCGGGGGCACGCCTCACAAACCGTTGTAAACATGGTGGGGCGTGGTTCACTCACCGGGGGCACGCCTCACAAACCGTTGTAAACATGGTGGGGCGTGGTTCACTCACCGGGGGCACGCCTCACAAACCGTTGTAAACATGGTGGGGCGTGGTTCACTCACCGGGGGCACGCCTCACAAACCGTTGTAAACATGGTGGGGCGTGGTTCACTCACCGGGGGCACGCCTCACAAACCGTTGTAAACATGGTGGGGCGTGGTTCACTCACCGGGGGCACGCCTCACAAACCGTTGTAAACATGGTGGGGCGTGGTTCACTCACCGGGGGCACGCCTCACAAACCGTTGTAAACATGGTGGGGCGTGGTTCACGCCTCACAAACCGTTGTAAACATGGTGGGGCGTGGTTCACTAACCGGGGGCCTGTTGGCTGAACTGACTGTAGGAACGTGGCCTGCCGTTACCATGGGACCGTGGCCGGAGGTTGCCATGGGGGGCGGTTGAGAGATGGGTGGTGTGTAGCCGGCTGTAGTACCCGGAACTGGCGTGTATCCCTGGCAGAATTGAGGGATTGTTATTAGAAGGCACGAATATTACCGGGTAGTTGCTGTTTTGTTAACCACTAGAAATGGAGATAGCTTTGATCTGGAATATTCTTTCTTTAGAAGTTTAGATTGACAAAATGATTTGATTTTTTAACGTCAGCAAGAGGACTGTTTAACGTCACACGAGGATTTATTGCTTTCAGCTCATGAACAACATTGTTGCATTAAAACCTGACGCAAATGATTGGATCGATTTAATTACCCAGACAAATAATGCATATCGCGAGAACAGTTTCGTGGTATATCCATCCCAGTTTCGTGGTATTTCCATCTCATGACCATGGTAATGGAAACAAGTGTTCGATACCACGAATACTACAAATTACCTAGACAGAGGGCGACACCTTCCATCTCCCAATCATGGGATAATGCACCTTCCACTAAACACTTTAAGACTTTATATCCAATAAAAACACGTACATGCGCTATCATATAAAGACTAAATACCTGAGGCTGTGCTGCAGGAGGTCGGTATCCTGGCATGCCGTATCCAGGTTGTTGCTGGTAACCTTGGTAACCGGTCTGCTGCCCAGGTGGGTATTGTTGTCTAGGAGGTCCGTACCCCTGAGGAGGGCCAGCAGGTGGGGGCTGCTGACCGGGCGGATAGCCTGCTGGGCGAGCCTGGGCTTGTCCGGGAGGGTACCCAGGTCGGGGGTACCCGTACCCCCCGGGCCCGGGAGCGTTATTATAGCCCCCGTATCCTCCGTAACCGTATGGCCCCGACATTGCGCTAGGCTAGAGAGCGAGGGTTTAGAAATATATCTTGGAGTTAGAAATATTGTAGATTTTGAGGTGCATTTGTGGAAACTGATTATAGAGACGGGATTAAAAGTTTCAGCTTATAAGATGGCATTATATTGGCAGTAGTTTAGAAGTTAGGTTGAGTAAGACACGAGATGATTTAAGAGACCTGCTCATCAAAAACAATATTATCAATGTACACGTGCGTTGCAACACACTCAAATTAGATACATTAAACACGGTCAATTATCACTATTATCATTAATATTATGATTTCTCATTCGTCATGGACTAAAATTATCATTCAGGTCTTAAATAAACTTTGATATATTTGTCAAGACATGGTAAACAGAAACAGGATAGTTGTTATAAAGAACTGTATGATGTAAAGCAAATTTGGAATTCAGGTTGATGCACATAGAGATAGAAACGTAATTCAAAACCTAAAAAAGAAGACAATTTCTAAAAAGAGTATTTTAATTTAATCCTCGTTATTGCCAAGAAAACAAGTATTCATTTTATTTCCGCCAATTTCACCGATTCATATCCATAATTTATAATTCACCATGATAATCAATTAATAAAAACACGCTAGACAAATTTAAACATCTGATTTGTAACGCCATAAGTTATATCTGCCAATCACCAACAAAAGCCCGAGTAACAAACCCAAAAACTGTCACATCCGTAATATATGAGAGCATTTACAAATTCTACTAAACTTCCATTTTCATCTACCAACCACATCAAAATGGTTTCATTTTTTTTCTAATAATTATTAATATTTATGAACGCTCTCTTAAATATCGTTACCAGTTTTGTTTGAGGATTTCTGGCAACAACAGGGCGTTACAGAAATAAAATCCAATATTTCTGGAATATTAACTAACCACACAAATAAGTTACGTTACTCAAAAAAAAACAATCCCGGCCACATAGAAGACAAATAAACTGAGAATCCTCTGAATGCTGTTGAGAAAATCTAAAAAAGCTTTTAAGCATAGAATTTATTTAAACCATTACAAATAAACTTTGTGTCATGTGGGTTTCTTGTGTCAGATAAAGAAGCTTTGGCTTTTAAGTCGTCCAATACAATCGTGGTAGGATTTCAACGTTGGTCTTCACTGTTGACTCAGATTCTGACTTTCACTTAACTTCAAGTTTTTGATAGCGTGTTGTGCTTGTACTACGTTAAAATGCTGCAGCATATCCTTCAGCGTTTTATCGTCCACCAAATCACTGACAATTTTATGCGATACATTATTACCCATGATATTAAAATGAAATTGCGATGTGTGGTATTTAATGAACTGATTTCCTCAGTACATAGGAGAGGAAATATTTATGGTATGACAGTTTATTGACTGCATCCCGTCAAATATGGCCTTATCTGGATACAGGTCTCTTATCGTGACTGATACCATAATTATTTGATAAAATTTGAATCATTTAAGATTAGATTGATTAGATGAACTGATAAATATTCATGGAGTACCAACTTTGTCATACTCGGATTTTCTACGAGAATAATTATAAAATGGTCTTGTCGTCGATCGATCAAATGTTTGGGTTCTGGATCCACCAAAAATTCAACAGATCTTAAACCTTTTAATACATCCTGGAGGGGGATATTTAATACATAAATATATTTTGAGATCGAGCGGTATTCTGGGTATTCTAGCCGTTAAAAGGTTACTGATTCATATTTGCTCCGTTCACGAAGGTTCTCGAACGAGATTTTACATTATGCTGTCTGAAATTCAGGGAAATTAATGGTTAAATGGTTCATTATTAAAATTTAACAAAATTGAATATTCAATGCAATATGTAATAATGCGATTCTAATGGTCATACATCCGGATCCCGACGGCACTGTAGTGGCACTATAGCGGCACTATGGCGGCACTGTCGTGGCACTGTCGTGGCACTGTCGCGGCACTATGGCGGCATTCTGGCGGCACTGTCGCGGCACTCTGGCGGCACAGTGCCAACTTTCAATCAAATTCTTTCAAAAGCATAAGACAATCATTATACCTTCATTATCTTTTCACGATAACCACGGTGTCATAAAAGCACTACCCTTTATTTACTAGCTTTGTCAAAGCCTTGTGATTTGCAATCCTTATGATTTTGAAAGAACATGATTGAAAGTTGGCACTATGCCGCCAGAGTGCCGCCAGAGTGCCGCCAGAGTGCCGCCAGAGTGCCACGACAGTGACGTCGGGATCCGGATGTATGACCATTCTAATAATAAACCATACAAGAAACCTGCTGGTCAAGGGGAAGATATAATTATATGTCAGTGATATCATAAGGACTATCCAACACACAGCAGCAATTTGAACTGCATGCAGTTTTAGTTTTTATGCATTCTAACTATTATATATTCCATAATCTATACTTTCACCGCATCAAAAATACGGACAATATGTTTGGGGTCAGCCTGTATATTATTGGGATACAATGTATAGTTTATTTATATATTGCCTCAAACTGTATTTTATGGAGAAATTTATATTAGCTACTATGCATATGTTCAAGTATTTCATAAATTAATAAAGAAGTTTTATGTTTTAACATCTAAGTTATTTGATATGTTCTACTTGGTTGTAGACTTATCAGATCTTTAGAATGTTTATTGTTAAATACTTGTGTTAAATTCGATAACAATAATAATACCGCCTAGTTAGATTAGAGTTTAGACATGACTGTCACAGAACCAATCAACCGATCAGTCTACCAACCAGCTAATTGATTACTTGTCTGATGATGGAACGCACCTGCTTGCTTGACTCGTTCTCTCAGCAGCCCTGACCACACCCACACATTCCAATCGATTACGAAGCAGGGTGAAGGCCTCGGATTGGGGCAGTAGCATAAGAATACCTGAACAAAAGATATAATTTTATATCTTTAAATGTCTGTGTAGAAAAATTATGATTTAGAATAATGGATAAAACATTCTTATTTGATTTCAAAAATATCTTCTACCCCGAAATATCTCTCACCTGCAAGACTACGGAAGAGTTCAGGGTTGGTGTCCGGTTGAACGAGTTCCAGTCGAAGCGCAGAAAATACCGGACTTTCCAACAGTTGAACGAGTTTGTCAAGTCCGGACAAGGTCATCTCTGTCATCTGAGAAAAGACAGTGCACATTTTAGAACCCTTCCATACTAAATCATGGGGATATAAAACCGGAGTCCGGAAAATCAGGAGTTTTTGGAGAAAACAATATCGGTGGAGGATTCCTTGTCTCCAAACTAACCTCATATTCTCCCAGAGCATGTATGACGTCACTATGACGTCACTTGCATGCTGATAAGAACTAACCTCATATTCTCCCAGCGCGTGTATGACGTCACTTGCATGCTGATAAGAGTGAGCTATCATACACAGAGCGATTGTTGAGACTGGGTCGTGGCACCAAGTTGTGTAAAGGGTGCTGAAAACTGCTCTTCCGTCTGTAGACCCTTTCTTACTGAGAGAGTAATGGAGTTAATGTGGATAAATACTTCCTTTAATTGAAAAGAGCATTTTCTCTTGCGACTTGCAGTCGTTTATACCGAGTTATCAGACATTTCCTCAGAAACATAAATACTTCCGTTAACGATTTGGATATAAGTGGCGACTGGCGGGGTTAACTATATTTGTTTTTACACGTGACAGCGATTCTGATGCTGGAAACTGATTGGTTAGTCGCTGTCACGTGTCAGGACAAATATGGTTCACTTCTCCGCTAGTATTCAGAACTACGGAGTTTTAATAATATGCGAGAGTAATGTGTTTCTTGTGGTAATGGTATGTTATCAAAAAAACAAGTGCAGAATTCTAAGTTGTGTGTCATAGTTTTGTGCAGAACATGTTATTAATTTTATGATTAACCTGATTTCCCAGACAAATTAGTACAGCACAGTCTTTGACTACTAGAAATACGTCTAGAAACCACCCCCTCAACGAAAGTCCCACAAATATAAAACATCACTTAATCTACTTGAGGACACGTCAATACAAAATCTTTTTCACTGGGCTAACTATTTGAGCTGTACTACATTTCGAACAACACTAACAGCCCTCGCACGTTTAACACCACACTAAAAAACCATCTCACTCCATATCTTCGCTAGATCCCTCGATTGGGCGAGCTACAATCTCCAGGGGGGACCTGCTCTCCAGCTCTACAGCTCCTTTATCTTTCTGCAGTATCCCACCACTTTTAGAGTTCGAGTTAGAGTTCAAGTTAGAGTTTCCTTTTCCCGGAGGAGATTTGCTGAACTTATTTCCAGGTTTTGGAGCCGGAGTTTGTCCATCTTTGAGACGAGCAGACTGGTCATTCGTTGAAATGGGATCTCTACAACGAAACTCGTTAAATTTCTCGTAGATAGATATATCTATATTCTACATATCAAGTATTTATTCCACACTCCACATTCATGTAATATTAGGATTGGGAATCAAAATGAATACACAGCTGATAGAGGAGCGTATGATTCAATACAGCTATGTGAATTGTGATTTTCCCGCCTCCGATTCTCACTTACGTGCCAATCTCCTACTCACATGGCTCCCTTCTACCTCCCCAAGCAAGACTAACCTCCCCAAGCAAGACTAACCTCCCCAAGCAAGACTAACCTCCCCAAGCAAGACTAACCTCCCCAAGCAAGACTAACCTCCCCAAGCAAGACTAACCTCCCCAAGCATGACTAACCTCCCCAAGCATGACTAAACTCCCATACAAGTTCCTAACAATACCCAACCTGGTACGTGACTTAGTGATGTTCTCTGTAGACTGTACCTACCCGAGTTTGGGGTTGTTGCGCTGAGATTTAAGGGTATCCCTGAGTGGGGCGAGGTTGGGGGAGGTGAGTAGGATCCAGTTCAGGTACTGGACTAAGAGAGCTGTGAACACGATGTCAGTCTCCTCCACCAGGAGTCGAGCTAGCGTACAGAACACCTGGATTACAAGTCAGATTAGTACGGGAATAGGAGTATTAGTACGGGAAATAGGAGGATTAATTTGGAGAATAGGAGGATTAATTTAGAGTACAAGAGGACCTTTATTACTGTTGTTGTTAAATGCTGTGCTTCAATCTTACAATACGGGTTAGCGGTTCCATGGCTGATTTGACACAAAATATTGTCTCCATTTACAGTACCTTTTCACTATCCACATGGGTACAGAGAGTCTGTATTATAAAGGAGCACCGTCTGTCTAGCAGTTTCTCATCGTCCTTGAACTTTGCTATCAGGCTTCGTAGAAAGTTCTCAAAGTTGGTCTTGTCTTGATCACTGTTTTGCATACACCTGTATTGTTGAGGGTTGGTTTGATGATGACGAGCTCACTATATCGAGCTGATGTTACGTTGTTAATATCCCGAGCTAATTAACAAAGACAGTTATAATTCTAAGGGAATAATGAAACAATAATCCACATTACAACGCTTGAACTGAATCCCATTGTTTGTCATGTAAATCAATTGTCTTTCCAGTTAACAACAGAATACTATTGTTACCACTAACATGAGCCTGCATTATAGGGGAATGGCTAGTATTTACATAATAGCTTAGATGCGTAAAGTGGCTCACTGAGAGGAAATGGCCAGAAAGTGGCTCACGTAATTTGAATGATCCCTTAGTTACCTAGTAATATTACTAACATTGCAGCGAGGAGCTGTATGGACAGTTAGTACCTAGTAATATTACTAACATTGCAGCGAGGAGCTGTATGGACAGTTAGTACCTAGTAATACTACTAACATTGCAGCGAGGAGCTGTATAGACAGTTAGTACCTAGTAATACTACTAACATTGCAGCGAGGAGCTGTATAGACAGTTAGTACCTAGTAATACTACTAACATTGCAGCGAGGAGCTGTATAGACAGTTAGTACCTAGTAATACTACTAACATTGCAGCGAGGAGCTGTATGGACAGTTAGTACCTAGTAATATTACTAACATTGCAGCGAGGAGCTGTATGGACAGTTAGTACCTAGTAATATTACTAACATTGCAGCGAGGAGCTGTATGGACAGTTAGTACCTAGTAATACTACTAACATTGCAGCGAGGAGCTGTATAGACAGTTAGTACCTAGTAATACTACTAACATTGCAGCGAGGAGGATCTGAGTTTTTTCGATGCCCATGCCGTGATCAAGCGTGCTAACTCATACTACGTATGGGACCGCAACGACAGACATGGCATCCACTTATATCACGAGGTGCAAAGGGTAGTGGCACATGAACTTGTTAACTGCGTTGGCAAGTTATGTGGATCTGAACAGAGACGTCACAGGAACTGTGAGTGGCTCTATCACCACAAGCCTAACAGTCTCTCCAGATATAACCGAAGCTGAGCGCTTTACAAATCATTGATACCATTCTGATTAAAAAATACGATTCAATTTTTTCTCAACTTCCAGTCCACCTTTAACAGATCGTTACCAAGATAGATCATATAATGAAATGATCTGATTGGTGGAATTTTTCTCATTATCTGATAAGCTCATCCATTATCAGTATCTCTTATCACCCGATCGCAGACAAAACATCTTACTCTACAAATCTGTATCATCCTAAATCAATGAGATTTCATAACTCTATACAACATTCAAAATTCACATACAAATCTATAAATATTCAAGTGCGTTCTCTTCAGTATTACTCAAGTTCAGTGCGATAGTCCCTTATTACGTAAACACTACAAACAAATCAAATACAAATAACACCTCACAAAACTACACAACACAAAAGCAACCACTTTATTCGATTTCTATTTTTTAGCCAAATCAGTTATTTAAATCATACTGATAAGGCCCTAGATAAGGACACTTTATTTCACTTAATTATCCGATTTTAGCTTAAAATAATATAATTTACTTTTAAATCATATCAAGATTCTGTAGCATACAGGACCTCCGGTTCTCGTGAAAGAATCTGATTTGAACTATAATTTTATATACTATCAGTATCATAATCATAATATTTAGTTATAAATGGAACCCACTGTTACATCTGAAAACAAAGTCAAGATCAAATGTTCAAGCTGCAGCGGCTGGTGTTACTCTATTAGAAATATTCGCACATGCTCATGGTGTCAAAGTAATGTCCATGTCAAATGTTTTAAGGATAATTTAGGCTGTACGAGTTGCTGTGAAAGTATCATTCCTGGATTTCACGCAACCTACTATGAAATCTATGACGACTACAGTAAACTTAATAGTGACATATTTAATCCGTACGATCAGAATAGTCGATTTAATCTTATTGGCGACGCCATGACCAACGAAGAGCATCAAGATTCAACTTGGAGCAATATTTCATCTTTCCTAACTAGTTGTCAGTATAAACAACAACGTAACGTGAAAAAATCTACCTGCTCTCAACTTAAAACATTTTCTATGAACATAAGATCCCTTATTAAGAATATAGATCAACTACGTGATGATATTGAGACTTATGATAAGTATGATATATTGTGTTTTAACGAAACTAATTGCACTTTAGGGAAATTACCGAACGGAATAAACGACGTTACCTTAGATGGATTTCATGAACCATTTATCCAGGATCCAATTCGCCCATCTGGAAAAGGTGGGGGGCTAGCCACTTATGTACACAAACGTGTAGTCGATTATGATAAAATTGATATTTTCACTCCAAACCCTGAACCAACTAATACTAGTGGCGAATTCCAATTTATCAAGCTCCATCAGTGCAAAGGATACAACAGAACGAAAATAATTGGCAATGTTTACCGTTCTCCCGCTAGGAGACCTGAAGCGTTTCTAGAAATTTTCAAAAATACGCTGCACAACCTAGGGAGACACACCCGTAAACATATGACGCTTCATGGAGATTTCAACCTTGATTTACTGAAGCACAGCAGCGACCAAGCATGTCAGAACATTATAGATATTGCGTCCTCTTACGGTTTTATTCAAATTGTATCACGCCCAACTCGCCTAACGGACCATAGTGCCACGCTTATTGACCACATCTACACAAACAATCTTGAGGATACAATAAGCTGTAACGTCTTAACGACAGATATGTCTGATCACTTAGCAATAGTCACTACAATAAATCTTGATAACACGCCAACCAGCAGCTACCGCTCTGCGTCTAACTCACAAAATGTATCTCAAACTGAAACACGTAGATTTAACGACACCAACAATCAAAAATTCAGAGACTTAATTACAGATGAAAGTTGGTCAGAAATTTTTAACAATACCAATGATGCCAACGAACAGTTCAATAATTTAAATACGGCTTATAATAAGATTTACGAGTCTGCCTATCCCACAAAAAGACAATCACGAAGACAAAATGAACGTGTTAATCCGAAACCATGGATGCTGCCCTGGCTCGAAGAAGCTATAGAACGTAAAAATGAGTCATATTATGATTTTGTTAAGGAACCATCTGATAGTAACCGTATTAAATATGACCGTCTGAAGAAGTTTTGTAATAAACACATCGATAAAGCTAAAAACAAGCACTTCAAAAAATTTTTTGAGCAAAACAAAGAAAATTCTAAGAAGCAGTGGCAAATGATAAACAGTCTTCTTAATAGGAAAAAATCTAAACCTACTTCAATTAAACTGACTGACGAAGACGGCTCAATCAGCACTCCGGCAGCTGTAGCAGAAAAATTTAACGATTACTTCTCAAACATCGCTCCTAAAATTAAGTCTGAAATTAGTAGTAGGACCACTTTTGATCCTGGTGGAACCCATAGCACACTTCGCAACGCCACTCCAAGTAGTATTTATTTAAAGCCAGTCACTGCCACAGAAATTCAGGACGTCATAAACCTGCTTAAGAATAAAGCCACACTAGACACTAAAATTGAACCTCTAAAAATCGCTAACAGCTGTCCCAGTTTTACTAGTGTACTAGCCCACGTTGTCAACAGTTCTTTTGAACAGGGGATCTTTCCACAGGCTTTGAAAGAAGCGAAGGTGGTCCCAATTCACAAAGGTGGATCTAAATCTGACATAAAAAATTACAGACCAATATCTCTTCTTGCTTCTTTCTCTAAAGTATTTGAAAAGCTAATGCATAACCGAGTTATAAGTTTTTTAGATAAATACAGCATACTATGTGAAAACCAATACGGTTTTCGCCCGGGTAGGTCTTGTGAACATGCTCTTCTCAACGCAAAAGACACCATTCTTAATTCAATGTCTAAAAAGCAGGTAACTTTACTTCTTTTAATCGACTTCAGCAAAGCTTTCGACCTTGTGGATCATTCCATACTCTTGCGCAAGCTGGACCATTACGGTATAAGGGGTCAAGCCTTAAACTGGTTTAAGTCATATCTCACTAACAGGAAACAGTTTGTATCAATTGGCACGTCAAAATCTTCAACCAACCAAATTTTATACGGCGTGCCTCAAGGGTCAATATTAGGACCTTTACTTTTTATAATCTACATAAACGACCTGCCTCAAATATCAGGTATAGCCAATTTCATTATGTACGCAGATGATGCCAACATCTTCCTGATAGGAGAAAATCTTAATGAAGTTTACGATAAACTAAATACTCTTAGCGATGCTTTAGTTAAGTGGGTAGATAATAATGGTTTAGCTCTCAACCTTAAGAAAACAAATTATATGATCTTCTCTCGACAAAGAAATCTTAATTATCGTGATGTGGCAATTTCTGGTGTCACAATTGAGAGAAAAACAGAAGCCCGTTTTTTAGGAGTTATAATAGATGATAAACTAAACTGGTCCCATCATATTTCTGCCATGAAAATGAAAATGTCCAGATACATAGGAGTCATGTACAAACTTAAAAAATATCTGCCTCTCGAAGCACGTCTTCAAATTTATCAAAGTTTTGTGCAGTCACACCTTAATTATTGCAGCCTTGTATGGGGTTTTGCTGCCAAGTCTCATATTGAATCGCTTTTTGTAAAACAGAAAATGGGCCTTCGAGCAGTATTACCTGGTTTCGTCAATTACTGGTACAAGGACGGTATCCCCCCAGCAAGTACCAAGTCTGGCTTTTATTCACATAAAATATTGACAGTACACAGTATCATTGTAAAGAACGCACTCATTTTAATGCATAAATTGAAAAACTTTCCTCATCTAGTACCATTGTCTCTCAAGAAAACAATTCCCAAAAGCGCACCATTATTTAATACTAACCTGGATTCTATTCTCACTACACAATGGTCAGAAAAGTATGGTCAACACCCTTACAACAACTCAGTATTTTTTAAAGGTCCATTATTAGCAATAAACCGATATAATGTTGCAGCAACTTCCCCGCCTAGTCTATTTAACCTGAACATTTACAAAACTTGTATAAAAACTATGCTCATCGATCAGCAAAATGAAAACATCGAAGACGATTGGCCTAATTTCATGTTATATTGTATAACAGGACTAAGAAAATCAAAGCGTAACATAAACCAAAATGCCGATAATAACCTTGTCTCTACATCTTAGATTATATGCACACACTTATGCATCACTCAATAAACGTCGCATATCTCATCAATTACACTGCCAACATAGGACATTCTTTTTTATCGCCGCGATTTCAAATCAAGTTACAAATTCTACAAATTTTGAAGTGCTCAGTCTTGTTTTACTTTTCTTATCTTTACCTATTAACCATTGGAAAATAAAACTTTAAATTATAAACCTTCATTGCATACTTTACCGGTAGAGTCTAAATTGAATAGTTTGAGATTTCCTTTACATTTTATATTTATGCATGTGCCCCACGGGGATGAATTTCTTATTACCATTGATATTATATATATTTTTTTGAGTAAACATTGGCTGGTACCACGGGCCAGTCCCCAACAAAAAAAAAAAAAAAAAAAAAAAAGCTGTATGGACAGTTAGTACCTAGTAATACTACTAACATTGCAGCGAGGAGCTGTATAGACAGTTAGTACCTAGTAATACTACTAACATTGCAGCGAGGAGCTGTATGGACAGTTAGTACCTAGTAATATTACTAACATTGCAGCGAGGAGCTGTATGGACAGTTAGTACCTAGTAATACTACTAACATTGCAGCGAGGAGCTGTATGGACAGTTAGTACCTAGTAATACTACTAACATTGCAGCGAGGAGCTGTATGGACAGTTAGTACCTAGTAATACTACTAACATTGCAGCGAGGAGCTGTATGGACAGTTAGTACCTAGTAATACTACTAACATTGCAGCGAGGAGCTGTATGGACAGTTAGTACCTAGTAATACTACTAACATTGCAGCGAGGAGCTGTATGGACAGTTAGTACCTAGTAATACTACTAACATTGCAGCGAGGAGCTGTATGGACAGTTAGTACCTAGTAATACTACTAACATTGCAGCGAGGAGCTGTATGGACAGTTAGTACCTAGTAATACTACTAACATTGCAGCGAGGAGCTGTATGGACAGTTAGTACCTAGTAATACTACTAACATTGCAGCGAGGAGCTGTATGGACAGTTAGTACCTAGTAATATTACTAACATTGCAGCGAGGAGCTGTATAGACAGTTAGTACCTAGTAATACTACTAACATTGCAGCGAGGAGCTGTATGGACAGTTAGTACCTAGTAATACTACTAACATTGCAGCGAGGAGCTGTATGGACAGTTAGTACCTAGTAATACTACTAACATTGCAGCGAGGAGCTGTATGGACAGTTAGTACCTAGTAATACTACTAACATTGCAGCGAGGAGCTGTATGGACAGTTAGTACCTAGTAATATTACTAACATTGCAGCGAGGAGCTGTATGGACAGTTAGTACCTAGTAATACTACTAACATTGCAGCGAGGAGCTGTATGGACAGTTAGTACCTAGTAATACTACTAACATTGCAGCGAGGAGCTGTATGGACAGTTAGTACCTAGTAATACTACTAACATTGCAGCGAGGAGCTGTATGGACAGTTAGTACCTAGTAATACTACTAACATTGCAGCGAGGAGCTGTATAGACAGTTAGTACCTAGTAATATTACTAACATTGCAGCGAGGAGCTGTATGGACAGCACTACCTAGTAATACTACTAACATTGCAGCGAGGAGCTGTATGGACAGTTAGTACCTAGTAATACTACTAACATTGCAGCGAGGAGCTGTATAGACAGTTAGTACCTAGTAATATTACTAACATTGCAGCGAGGAGCTGTATGGACAGTTAGTACCTAGTAATACTACTAACATTGCAGCGAGGAGCTGTATAGACAGTTAGTACCTAGTAATATTACTAACATTGCAGCGAGGAGCTGTATGGACAGTTAGTACCTAGTAATACTACTAACATTGCAGCGAGGAGCTGTATAGACAGTTAGTACCTAGTAATATTACTAACATTGCAGCGAGGAGCTGTATGGACAGCACCACAACACCATCACACGGATCTGAAACAGTCCGGATAACAGCCGGAAATATGTCCTGGTGTTGAGAGTTGATCTTGTTGGGGACGTGGGAGTGGAGGGTCCGGACCCATTGTAACACTGCTATCTTGGTGGTGACAGAGATCTGGGAGGGCGAGGTGTACTCTCTACCTGAGGAGAGAGGAGATAAGTCAGAGCTTATCAAATAGATAGAGCTTATCTAACAGGTGTAAAATGTACATAATAGGTTTATCTAATACATAGTACAATGTACATATTAGATTATTTAATACATAGTACAATGTACATATTAGATTATATAAGTACATGCTAGCTTATCTAATACATGGTACATACTCAGATAATATGATAACATGCTACCATAAATCATGTTATCATTCGTCCGGAGGTAAGGCAACATTTAAGAAGTATTATAGATGCGTGATAGATGTGTGAAACCCTGCCACAGAAAGGACGAATCTTACAATTGATTTTTGGCGCCTCTATTCACAATATCGTCTTATTTTAAAAGTATGGTAGCTTTATTTGCGCCCATCAGTTGATGAGAGGGGCTAGTTGATGGGAAAATATATAACCAATATATTATAACCAGTATATATATATAACTAATGTTCAGCAGGATGGCGCCCATCTTAAATTTTATATTATATATGTATATCTTCTGAATAATATTTGAATATTTAAATGCAATATTTATTTAAGTATGTATTTAAATATCAAATCATATTTTTCGCGACAACTTTGACACTTTCGTAATTAATAAAATAAATATTCATCTTAAGTGCTTGATAATTTAAAAGCTTGGGACGCATCAAAGTCATGAATCGAGGATTATATGTATGCGGGGTTAAAACTTCAACCATAACGAGAAGATCAGTTAGCCGAGCGATGAGAGGGGCTAGTTACTGGGAAAATATATAACCATTTTATAATTCACAAGGCATAATATCATCTGAATAATATTTAACTATTCAAATGCAAAATATTAAATAAATCCAACCATATTATTCGTGACAACTTTGACACTTTCGTAATTAATAAAATACATATTCATCTTAAGTGCTTGATAATTTAAAAGCTTGGGACGAATCTAAGTCATGAATCGAGGATTATATGTATGCGGGGTTCAAACTTCAATCACGACGAGAAGATCAGTTAGCCGAGCGATGAGAGGGGCTAGTTACTGGGAAAATATATAACCATTTTAAAATCCACAAGGGATAATATTAATATCATCTGAATAATATTATACTATTCAAATGCAAAATTTCTAAATATTAAATAAATCCAACCATTTTATTGGTGACAACTTTGACACTTTCGTAATTTGTAAGATAAATATTCATCTTAAATGCTTGATAATTTAAAAGCTTGCGCGGAAGCCCAGTCATAATTCGATTATATGAGTGGTTCAAACTTCAAACATCATGAGAACTGCGATGATAACAAACGTCTAGTAACGTCAACGAACTGTGCAGAATAACTGCTAGATATAAATGAATGATTCCTAGATGTACACTGTACAAACGGTACAGAAAGAGAGGGTTAACAATACCTGTTGAGTCTTTGTAGACGGTAGAAGGCACTACATGAGCCAGGAGCACACTCAACATATCCGTTATATCCATGTTCTCCAGCGTACCTGCCACAAAACGAGTCAGTATAAAGTTAGTATCGAAACTTAGAGACTTGTTCCTGTACCTAATGTTTAAAAAAGTTAGAAAACTCAACGGTTCGAAACAGCATACGATTTTCGTTGATTAAGTTTACTGGATTGAGCGAATGAATCTCAGGACTACATGGCAACATGTGGGTAAACATAATGGTCATGTGCCATTGACCCTATAAAGACCTTATTCCCCCCTAATTCATGTTGTGGAAACACAAAGTGATGCTTAAAATATTTGTTAAACTGGATCATGAGAGCTCCAAACTATGTGTTATTATATAGTGTATTTTTGACTTTTGGAGTAATTTTGTGAATTTTATGAACCATTCCTGCATAATTTATTACCTTGTCGGTGCATTATCCACTTTAATCCGGTTAAATTATTATATTTGATCTTATTTCTTTTTCGTACAAATTGTAGTGAAGTTAATTTTTTTTACGTGTTTTGACTTTTGGGTCTTATTTATGATTTTTTTTATAATTATCTTATTTATTTCATTGATGTATTTTGTCACGACGGGTTCGTTAGTGTTCCCTCCGACTATTTAAGTTTAATTCCAGTTTAATTCCAGTTTAATTCCAGTTTATATTAATATTGACACAATTAAAACTAGTACGTATAGAAAGTGAAAGATTACCTGGAGTTTCAGTAAGGAGGGAGATAGTATAGAAAGTGAAAGATTACCTGAAGTTTCAGTAAGGAGGGAGAGGAGCTTGTCTTTAGTCCGGACAGCGGTTTCAAATATATCAGTCTTACTATGCTGATCTGATAAACACGGTAACACTGCGAAGATTGGGTATTTTTATTGTGTGAAGGCAAAACGTGGGAGACGAGACAGCGTAGAGCACAACCAAGGCTCGACCGGGACCGCTTTTTTTGGACAGAATCGGGACGGAAAAAAGTGCTGAGACCGGGACTAAAACCGGACCCGGGACTAAGCCGGGACTGGGACTAAGCCAGGACCGGGATTAATGCCGGACCGGGATTTTGGCTAACAAAAATTTTACTAGGCATGATAATTCAGTACAAAACCAGTAAAATGATATCCAGTCCCATTTAATTGATTGCTCTTAGTGAGTTGATGTTATTTACAATTCACTATAATTCATTATATAGTGGATTTAAAAGAATACATTATTTAAGGGCTTTGGTTTATGTTGAAACTGTATTCTAGTTTAGTAGCTTGGTTCCGCTCGTTAACAGATATTTAAGCAGTGTATGCGATTTCCAGAATATTCTACGTTTTAATTTGTTGCGTCATAACATAACAAATTAAAAGTATAAATATTTTAAGCATAAATACTTAAAAACACTGCCATCGTGGTATAACTACCTAATTACCTAATTAAATTAACCGTTAGGGCGTTAGTGTAAATTATAATATGATATAATACTGTAGCTCGTGTAGTTTATCAGACTAGCGTACGGTTAATTAGGCCGATTAGGGGAGTATGCCGGGATTCCGGTCAAGCCTTGCGCACACCCAATCAAAACAATATTTCAAAACAATATTTATATTTCAGACAACAGAACTGTTAACCTGTACAGTTCTTGTTTACAGTTACTAGAAACAGTTTAATACTAATTAAATTGTTATCATAATGTACAGAAGTTTACAACACGATGCCAACTTTGAATCGTAAAATTTCATCCGATTTGAATCAGACTTTAATTTACCTGCGTTCAGTATTCCAGCACTGTAAAACGTTAAGTTTGCCCCATCCAGCTCGAGGAACCTAAGCAATAATGTTTGATAAATTAGAACTTGATTCTGGTGAAACGATAATCAGATTGTCCAGCAGTTTAAAATCCAAACCGGCCAACGAGAAGAATTATGTTCGTTATTTTATTTTTGTATGTTACTTTTTATTTATTATTTATTATAACCTGAGTATCCATATTAGGGCAATAAGTTGAGTGGAGCTGTTTGCACTCTTACTGTGCCCCAGCAAAACTACTATCATTGCCTTGAAGTTGGTCCCAACACTTTTACGATTTATCTCCATCAGGAAATCGTTAAGTACCTGTGGATGTAAGAAACCTACAATTGTCAATTTTAAACGGGTTTTGAATTTTTAAGTAGAGCTAATTCATAAAACGCTCGCGTTGGTGCAACGTATTGTGTACTATACTGATTTGATTAACTTCAAGCGGGTCATTTTACGATTATTTTACATTGCATCAAAGTTCCTTTGCCTGGATCTAACCTGTTGAGTCATGGCGCGGATCTAACCTGTTGAGTCATGGCGCGGATCTAACCTGTTGAGTCATGGCGCGGATCTAACCTGTTGAGTCATGGCGCGGATCTAACCTGTTGAGTCATGGCGCGGATCTAACCTGTTGAGTCATGGCGCGGATCTAACCTGTTGAGTCATGGCGCGGATCTAACCTGTTGAGTCATGGCGCGGATCTAACCTGTTGAGTCATGGCGCGGATCTAACCTGTTGAGTCATGGCGCGGATCTAACCTGTTGAGTCATGGCGCGGATCTAACCTGTTGAGTCATGGCGCGGATCTAACCTGTTGAGTCATGGCGCGGATCTAACCTGTTGAGTCATGGCGCGGATCTAACCTGTTGAGTCATGGCGCGGATCTAACCTGTTGAGTCATGGCGCGGATCTAACCTGTTGAGTCATGGCGCGGATCTAACCTGTTGAGTCATGGCGCGGATCTAACCTGTTGAGTCATGGCGCGGATCTAACCTGTTGAGTCATGGCGCGGATCTAACCTGTTGAGTCATGGCGCGGATCTAACCTGTTGAGTCATGGCGCGGATCTAACCTGTTGAGTCATGGCGCGGATCTAACCTGTTGAGTCATGGCGCGGATCTAACCTGTTGAGTCATGGCGCGGATCTAACCTGTTGAGTCATGGCGCGGATCTAACCTGTTGAGTCATGGCGCGGATCTAACCTGTTGAGTCATGGCGCGGATCTAACCTGTTGAGTCATGGCGCGGATCTAACCTGTTGAGTCATGGCGCGGATCTAACCTGTTGAGTCATGGCGCGGATCTAACCTGTTGAGTCATGGCGCGGATCTAACCTGTTGAGTCATGGCGCGGATCTAACCTGTTGAGTCATGGCGCGGATCTAACCTGTTGAGTCATGGCGCGGATCTAACCTGTTGAGTCATGGCGCGGATCTAACCTGTTGAGTCATGGCGCGGATCTAACCTGTTGAGTCATGGCGCGGATCTAACCTGTTGAGTCATGGCGCGGATCTAACCTGTTGAGTCATGGCGCGGATCTAACCTGTTGAGTCATGGCGCGGATCTCGTCCTTCTGATCACCCAGAATGATAAACAGACCGTCAAGCAGCATTGGGAGATGAGAAACCAGGTCAATGTCAGGAACGGAACAGAGGAGCTGGATCCAGCTCACTAGGTACTGACGAACGTTGTCGTTGTTTGTGTAGATACGTTCCCTTACCTGGTGTTATGGGTGTGAATTACTAATTAATTAATTAATTAATTACCGGTGGTGATCAGAGTATTCATGCTTAAACTCAAAGTTTTTGTTTCCTTGAAAAGTATCGATTTCCCGGAATACTTGCGATCATCGGCACGTATTTCTCATCGGCACGTATTTACAGAGCACTTTTTTGGATTTTTTTCTTCTTGATTGAGAGCTCGTGCTATCATTTAGCGAAACAATCAATGTTATTAGTATTATATTAGACATCAATTATATTTATAAAGCCGACGATATATAATACAAATCTAGTCAATCCAGATCGTTGCCATTTTAATTGATCTATTGAACATGGATTCTATATTTCTTTACCACTAAAATATAATACTTATGCTTCTCGATTTCTTAGTTTATGTACGTTGCTTGCTTTTAGTACAGCACTTAAATCAGGTAGATGCCATTTTAATTGATCTTTTGTTGCAATATTTCTTCTTCTCGAAAATATTTTTGTGCCTTAAATTTTCTTTGTTTTTCAACCTTTGTTTTATCACGATCTTATCGGTAAGATTGTCAGTAGTTACTCCAGTAGCAGGGAGAGATGCGGAGTGTTAAAATATCTCGCTCTTACTTTGTAACAAAATCTGTTATTAAGTTCACTGTTATTGTATTGGATAACATTGCTTTTCTATTTTATTTGCATGTAGTATAACTCATTCTCATTATATCTTCAGATAGTTATATCTCAAGCAATGGCCTCCCTCGGCCATGTTAATGTAAATCCCTCGGACGAAACACTGGATAATCAGTTTTTGCCAAACCCACACTGGTTAGTCACGAATGCTAGGACGATGATGAAAGGAGCAACCTCTAGCTCTCCGCCAGAGCTTCCATTTTTTGAAAATTTGATGTTTACAACCGGACCCTTGAAGTTAACAAATCAAACTGTGGAAACGGACAATAATCTGCCATTAGATGTTACAGATTTAACAAAGCAAATTTTGGAAACAGACAGCAATCTAGTAGATCATATAATTGGAGGTTTAGCTGTGATGCTGACTATTATTGGACTCCTGGGTAACATAACGTCTTTTTTACACTTCTGGAAAAAACGAAAGAAGTCTCCTGATTTGCTCTATTCGATCATTTCTGTGGTCGACGGATTGACATCGGCAATAACCTTTCCTGTTATAACGTCTCTCCTAAGCTCAAGATCTCCGATGCTATTCAAGATCCATGTTTTCTGCATCTCATGGCCAATTCTATACTCTCTTCTAATGAGGGTTTCCATGGTAGTAGTGCTACTTATTTCTGTCTCAAGGACCTTCGCCATCATATTGCCGTTAAAAGCAAAAAGTCTCCGAGATCAATTCGGCAAAATGGCCGTTGGGGTCATTGGATATACCATCTTGCTGTTGATAATTGATATATCGTTCAATGCCACGACGTTGATCCAAGCAAGTTATTTGAAAGCCATTTCATCGTGTGCAATTGTTCCAGTGGATGAAAGCTACATGTCATGGACCACCATGACTTCGGCTCTACGCATCTACTGGCTTTCTATCGACCTGGAGCTAATCTTGCCATGTGTGGTCGTCTTTGTAAGCTTCTTGGTGAGCGCAGGGTCTCTGCTGACAAGAAAACCTATGCAGAATAACGATGAGAAGAAGTTCAGAAGGGTCTCCATCACCATCGCGCTCTTCACAGCACTGTTCCTGGTTTGTTATCTGCCTTACTTTATGTTGCTTGCAACTCACATTGTAAGCACTTTTCGTGTTATTAAAGTAAATAAATCTATCCACCGCTATGGATTTTTGGTGGCCACGTTTCTTCTACCTCTGCTAAATTCGGCTGCAAATCCCTGTCTTTACATAATGAGGATGCCTCGGTACCGGAAGTGGCTAGGAAGTGCTCAGTGGCCGGAATCATCCAGCAGAGTTACAGAGACGCTCTGGAGAAAGGTGAGAACAGGGGTGAAGGTTTCTGATGCTTTTTCAGCAAAATAATGGAATGCATCCCTGCTTTGGAAACGAATGGAACCGATAATCCACAGTTATCATAAAAGGACTGTCTTCTGTCAATCAACCTTATTTTGTGAGGACGAATTTTGACGTCTTTAATATATATATTATATTGTGTATTTTGAATTTATCAGAACAAGGACCATGCCTAATGCAGTCACAGCAATTTACATAATTATTCCGTGATTCGAGGAATCAAGTTCTCACGTAGATTAAAGAAAATGATAACCGTTGAGTGGGCCAAGTATTGGCACCTTATAAATATTATAAATTAATTAAAATAATTGAACATAATGGTTATATCTGATAAGACATAATAGTGTCGTATCAAAATTCAGTTCAGTTGATTTGTTGAATCTTTTCCTTCAAAGGTTCTTTTCAAATTCTTTCTGACAATTTATCAAATTTAGCAATTTACCAACAGCTATGTATATTATATAGTTTATGTCATATCTTAACCTAAGTCTACACACTACATTTCCTTTGATATAAGAACACATCTTTTTTGTATGACAAGAAATGCGCCGCTTTTCTTTTGTGGATGACCGCTCAATTTCCCGATCCATGATGGCGTATTTTATCATATTCCATACAACCTGGGGACCCCAGGCTTTAATGTTTATACTTTATAAGCATGCAGATATGTTGGAGTGATAGGCCAAGCACCGCCGAGTTAATTCCATATTGAATTTGAAAATCGTATACATTTCACACTAACCATATGTTTATTGTTTATGCAACCTGATATGACACGGATCTGTGCAAAATGGTAATACTATAATACTAACTCGAAATGATATGCTATCAATTAGTGCCTAGTTGGATACGTACATGGTAAAATTAACGATTTAATTGATCGGTTCAGCGCCGCGCGCCAATAATAATTTAATTAAGATTTCAGAATAAATAAATAAGACGACATAGAATGATTTTTAAATCTTATTAAATTGTTAACTCATTGGTATTGCAAATTAATTGTATTTATATAGCCGCTGACAAAGTTGCTAAACAGTTAGGAAGTGGTAAAGTCTACAAAAAGATTATGTTAACCAAAGATGAGAAACCTGTCACTCAAACAGTATCCCTTATAAATTCATGTGTGCTGCAAAACGAAACAACACCCAGAATATTTGATAAAGATGTAACGGATCAAATAACGGACAACGATAACAATGAACTTGTAGACCTCACAATCGGGGGTATGTCTACCTTGCTGATTACGATAGGAGTCATCGGTAACATCCCCTTTTTCTTTCATTTCTGGAAAATACGAAACAAGACGATTCACGATTTGCTTTATATGACCATTTCTGTGCTCCACGGTTTGACATCGGCAATAACATTTCCTGTCATAGTGTCTCTCCTAAACTCGAGATCTCCAATACTATTCCAAATTTCTACCTTTTGCACCTCATGGCCAGTCCTTTTCTCTCTCCTTATGAGAGTTTCTATGGTCGTGGTTATGCTTATTTCTTGCTCAAGAACGTTTGCCATTGTATTGCCATTAAAAGTGCCAAGAATTCTCGAAGATTATTCCAAGAAAACGGTTCACGGAGTTCTAGGATATGCCGCCCTGCTGTTGACGATAGATGTGATTTGTTTCTACACCGGGGTTATTCAAGCAAAATATTTTGCAATAACTTCAGCATGCGAAGTTATAAGTCCAGCTGTTGAGCTAACATGTGAATGGAGCAAAGTAACGCCGGCTTTTTGGGCTTATTGGTTCATCTATCAATTGGAGCTTATTTTGCCATGTGTAATTGTGTTTGCTAGCTTTTTGGTGAGCACAAGTCTACTGCTTAGAAGAAAAAATGTGCTCGAAGATGATGAAAAGACCTTTAGAAGAGTGTCCATCACCATAGCTATCTTTACAGCTTTGTTTCTGGTTTGTTATTTGCCTTGCTTTCTGCTGCAAGTAACATACTTCGTAAGTATGTTCCATCCTATTGATGTAGGCAAAGGTTTCAGCCGTTACCTACATTTGTTATCACAATTCCTTCTACCCCTTCTGAATTCGGCTGCAAATCCCTGTATTTACTTCTTTAGAATGCCTCGATACCGAAAATGGCTAGCAAAATCGTTCAGAGGTGAAAGGGAAATCCCACGGCAAAGATAGTGAAAAACTCCGGAATAAAGGTGGAAAAAGGATGAGACTGATGAAGTAAACTTCCTCACCCGGTTCTTTTTCAGAACACTGATTTAATGTGTCCATGCTTTGGGACGTGCTCGTACGTGGTGATGAGACCCACAAATTTATAGGAAGACAAGATTGAACTCAGGAAATGTTTACTTTTTATTTATGACTATTTGAGTGGTTATTGAGGTCTTATCAAGCCATGTGTAACAGTGGGTAAAAATGGGCGTTTTAAAAAACTCAAAAATCTTGTTTATATTTAGTTCTTTTGAACATATTGAATACTTATTTACTATTATTTTTGATAGCAATTAAAAAGGTACGAACCAATGAGACGAATAGATCGACATCAAATATGTTGGACTCAGTGACAATGTCCTTAACCAGTCGGTCCAGTAACTCGGCGCCGTTCTTAACGTGCGTGTCTGGGTCACATATCAGCTTACTTACGCCGTCGAATATCTGGGATAGTTTACAATAGTTAATATCTTGGATGTTACTTACTTTAGGTTACTTTGCTTGGATGTTTGGGTAAAAGTAACAGGATGCACCGATAATTATAACTGTGAGATCTGAATTATAATTCAGAGTTCCATGACGTTTTGATCATAAACGTGTTTAAAAAATTAAACTTGTTGAAGAAAATAAGGAAATGCTAACCTCTTTGAAGAAGAGTAACATGGAAGCTCGGCCTACTTTAGCGATATTGTACATGCTCTCACATCCAAAGTACCTAACCCTGCAGTCAACATCGACAAATGACTTTAACACTGGTGGGACCTGGACAATTTTATAGTTAGCTTTTAATAAAACTTATTTACAAATTGGTTTAAAACGTTATAAAGGTTAGGATTTCCATGCTGTATTTATAAAGGGCGTAGTATCATTTCCAAAACACGATAATTATCTCAACCATTTAAGTTTGGAATCATAACCTAGAATAAGGATTAAGGAACAGAAGTGCTCAAAATGCATTTTTTCGGAAAGGTTAGTCTAGAAATTGCCATTTAATTCAAAAATCTTTTCAAGTATTCTTGCCTTAACCTGGTAGCTACTGTAGATGGGGAACAAGTGACAGGATTAAGTAGGACTTTTGGGTTTTGACTTAACAAAATATCAGGTTGAAGATTTATCAACATCGCGCGTCGTGCGCGCAAAGTAACGTAGTGAGTGACTTTAGCAAAGTGCTTTCATAACAAATCAACTTTAAAGTTGTTAATGTCATTATTCTAAAAACGAGCGTCCGCGCATTTGGCTATGGTAGATCAGAATACTGCTCAACTTACAATTTCACTGACGAAAAGACCGATATCTTTGCCGAGAGCAATAGCAGCAGCAGCAACACCAATCAGACCTCCTTTCTTCGCATTGGGGTTTTGGGAAAGCACAAAGTTGTTGACCAACATATCGATCACTTTCCTGACCTGGGAACGAACGAGTGTTAATTGGATTGAATTAAATTGACAACTTCCGCCTTTCTGTTTGTTCAAACATGAGGCAAAAAGGCGAAATAATAAGACAGGCGTTCAGTTGTGCTATGAGGCGAATTGTGTCGCATGTAGTGACGCATCCGCACAAAATAAGAATTATTGTTATTACGTGATAAAAAGTAAAAAGGAAAGTGTAATTTGACCTGTTTGATATCGTTCTTAGCAACGAGCTCTCTGACAATACGCTCAACTTCTAACGCGGCCATCTTTCTTTTCTCATACACCCTGAAATAGCTTAGCTAAGGTATATACATTCCTTTTACAGTTATTATTTTACAATGGTCGTAAAATACTGGCCTCTAAATTTCGAACATTTAGTGTAATCATATTGTTATTTAGTGTAATTATATTGTTATTTATTGTAATTATTTTGTTATTTAGTATAATGTATATTGTATATGTATAATGTACATTGTTATTTAGAGCTTGGGTACAGTAACTGGTAAAACTTATGTCTCTTAAAACTCGCTGCCAGTGTTTAGGTTTAAAATACATTTTTCTATCTATCTATTATAATGTTGTCCATTATTCAAGTTGAATAATACAAGACAGTTCGAACAGGAATTTTAAGTCTAGTAGGAGACAATAGTCGGTTTGTTGTAAATACAAATCTTAATGATGAGATTGATCAGAATGGGGTGAAACATTAATCAACTAATTCCTAGCATAAACTGGGCTAGCTAATTGATTATAATTAGTAAATAATTGGATTACCTGTCATTAAGGCCACGTACCACCGTGACAGGGAGAATTGCATTGTCAGCGTTTGACATGTCGGACGGGAAAAATTTAACGTCCAGACTTTTTGAAAGTGTTTGTAGGAAGGGACCACCAGCCCTGAAATAAAACTGTAGTAAAACGTTAGAAATGTTAAATGTTAGAAATGTTAGAGATGTTTAAAATGTTAAATATCACATATATGACCGTTGATTTTAATATCAAGGACGTCGAAAAATTTGAATTCAACATTTTCACACAGAAATAAATTTTAAGCTCTATGACGATGTGCATGGGAACGGAAATGAGTTAGGATGACTATAAATAGAAAATAACTGTACTTGTAAGTTACACTACTCAATTAAATAATAAACAAATTATATTAAATACCTTGAACTAGTCGCTAAATATCAGGCTACATCTCCAGCGTATGTAACTTTAAGTTCTTAAACTACATATTTTGCTAATAAATCATGTTATTAGTTTATCAAATAATGATGATTTATCAAATGTAGTAGCAGAGTATTCAAGTTAATAATGTAACGATAGAGATCATCCAGTGCTAACGAAAATGAAGAGATTGTTTGAGTTGAATCTTTCGACTTAGAGAAATTACAAATTTTACATTAAAAGAGGAACTGGCAAACATTTTGTATACATTTAACACACGAATATATTTTATGACTCGAATCGATAATAAACATATTATTTTCAAATAGGCTCAATAGAATATTTAAATCAAATATTTTAATCAAATATTTAAATCAAATATTTTTTACCAAAATAAATTAAATACATCGGTTAATCAACAAATCATTCTAAAGATAACAATCACTCGGCCAAAAGAACATGCAATGTCTGTTGAAGATAATTTCATTACAATAGTCATTTTAAGATTTCTTCTGAAGCAGATAAAATCTAGATTACAAATTGTCTACAAATTCTTATTCATGAATAAAATCAAATAAAATATCGAGCGATTCATAGAAATGCTATATAAGAATTAAATTTAGATAAAGAAAATCACAAAAATTTAAATAGAAAATAAATAAGCATTGATAAGCACGCAATTTAACTGAATATGGTTTTGTCAATAATTTTTGTCAAATAAAATTTGCGCTGCATAACCTAGGTGCATCTACTGAAATCGTAATAAAGACTGGGGTTCACATTCTTTAACACAGATGACTGTGAGTGAGCTATTCTCAGTTACAGTATAGTATCATAAAAGACTCTAGTTTCATCTATTCGGCCCTTCATAAGATCGGAGCACCTTTGCTGTGTACATAATTTTTAAGTTCTTACACATTTTTCAACTTGTACATTCTTTACATACCATTTACATTTTACATGGATATATTCACACAGAATCAATCAAATAAAGCTTGAGTCCTCTTTCTCGACAGGGAGATAAGTTATCTCTATCATTATCAACTAAGCTATAAAGGGTCATTTCTTAGGTTTCTGGTTCACAAACTTAAGAAATACGAAACTCAGGACAAGAAAGAGAACAATGATACCAAGGAGAGCAGAGAAACATTCCGGTAAACTTTCTTTATCAAGGTCGTAACTTTTAAGCGCCACAGTACCTGATAAAGGAAATGACCGCGGTAAATTAGGGTTTGCGGTTTAAACAGAAACACGGTAAATCGGGGTTTTACTTGTAAAATGATACGGCAATATGGATTATGATTCTGTCAAACTTTTCGAACAACAACAGTGATATAATCGGAGATAATATGTATTTAACACTTTTTAATGTTAAATAAGGGGGAAGTATCGAGTTGGTAGCAAGACATACCATTAGCGATGGGGCACTCTCCATACATCTGGACCATCGAGGCATTACAGGAAAACCTCAGTCCGTGAAACTCAATCTGATTAAGAGCTTGGAAAGACCACTTAAGATAAGAAGTCCACTTCAACCATCGCACACCCAACCACAGTGACTCAAGATTTATTATAAACCCTGAAATATTAACTTGTTAACTAGGGTGAATATATTTGGAAACTATGATCTCAACAAACTATGAGCAGAACAATAGGTTAATGTGTTTCTTGGAAAGCAACATTCCAAGAATATTCTCTTGATGAGTTCAAAAGGAATTAGGAAACTCTGTAAAGCTGTAACAAAATGGACAAACGTAGATAGCAAATGTGACTAAATTTCTGAGCAAAAGTAGTGTATATTTTCTATAGATAGACAACCCATGCAACTGTTAGTAATGAGATTATTTATGTTAACCAGTTTTATGTTAACCAATTTAAGTCATTTAAAAAAAATCGCGGTCCAAGCTCGACGTTTGATTAGTGTCGCAGAATGAACATTGTTCATGAATTAATTTTTCTATTGTATTCAATTTTACCATAAAGATATTACACATTTAATGTGCATTTTAATTTCAGCCTTATCTGCTATGTTCTTATCTATTGATTCATAATAATAAGCTACAATCCAGTTTCAAACTCAAACTGAACTCAGTACAAAGATGCCCCCGAAACAGAACCACGTCAATACCAGTCGATCAATAATGAGCTCTCAATCATTTGATGAACAAGAGAAATGAAATTGTGGGTATCATCTGACAACTTTCAATTTTAATTTGTAAGTTAAATGATATGACAGTCCATTTTCATTTAAGTCCTCGACGAGTTTAAGCGCTATTTTCTATAGATTCTAGGGTACAAATCATCTTAGACTCTGTTGTTGTCAGTTAATGATTTAGTCATCTAAACATTTTGAGTACTACACATCACCAAGTCTGCCGCGCCTGCTCGATTAGAATGTACCATACCAATTACAATTCAGTGAAATTTTTCAAAGAGTAGCAAACAATTAGGATTCCAATTACATCTAAATGAAATAGTTCTATAAATAAAAGTAGGAACTAGAAATCTAACTAAAGGAATAACTCCCCAGCCCTACTCATTTTAATTCTTCATTTACCGTACTTCTTCTGTTGACAACCGACCACTGATGACAGCCCACTTCGATTATTCTAACAAGACCTTTGGTATCCAGAACAATTCCTTGAAGTACACATGGTTAGCATACCACATATTTGTACTGCTCTCCAGTGTCCTGGGCGACACCATCATCTTGGTAACTTCCATTAAATACAACGCAATTAAACTTGATAAGTTTCTCGTTGTAATCATCCAGCACATCGCCGCATGTGATCTATTGACGTCTCTCTCGTCGGTTCTCTCCAAAAATATCTCCCTGATAGCTGATGGGTGGGTCTTGGGAACACTACTCTGTTACATAGAATCATACCTACGGAGCTACCTCTTTGTTGTCAGTGTGTACCTGGTATGTGCGCTGACTAGTGCCAAATTACTTATTGTGTGCTTCCCTCTCAGAGTTGGAATTTGGACCTCCAAAAGAGCTCACATTGGATGTGTTGCTATCTGGATTTGGGTCATGGTTTCCCCGGTCGCAATGCTTTTAACCACTGATGGTCCCAGCACTTTCGATTACATAATATATGATTGTCATTTCCATGTCTCGCTATCTACGTGGAAGTGGATGATGCCAGTGGTCTTATCACTATCATTCATTATTCCTACTATCCTTGTCGTTGTCTCAACATCATACTTGCTGTTCATCGCTCACAAAAAAGCAAAGAAATACCGAGAATCATTGAGATGGCAAGGTCTCACTACCACTATTCTCACAGCAATCTTCTACTGCATCTCCGTTCTACCCCATGCTGTGTCATGTGTTATGAGTGCATGCTGTACCGAGCATTCCTTTACTCTTCACTGGTACAGGGTGGCGGTCACGTGTGTCACACTCAACACTATCAGTAACTTCTATATCTACTGTCTGACTGTTGCTAGTTTTAGGGAGTTTCTCTGCTCCCGGATACAGCGTATCTGTCTCTCGAACAGTCCTCCGAGCAATATGGGTATGTAACTCATTTTACCTTGATAACTTCGTAACTTTCCTTAACAACCCTGATATAACCTTTCAGAATATTTGAAGCATAACCTTGATAGGTAATATAATATGTAAATTTAGGGTATTGAGAAATTCGAATGACATAACACTTTTTACCAACAGCATGCAAAAAGTGTGATGAAGACAATGAAACTACAGCACACTATCTCACAAGCTGTCCAGCATTCTCCTTACACAGGAAATACTACGTTGGTAACTATACCTTCAGAGAGGATACCTTCCATCACACCTTCTCTAACAGTAACACTGTGGGGATCGCTAGAGCTACCAAGTATCTAGATTTCTAAGAACCTCCTTTTTCACTTTTATATTAGCCTTAGTAATCGTAATTGTCCCTCTAACACAATCACCCTCCCCTCCCCAGATTGTTCCCAGACTTGCAACAGGTCCTGCTAGCCAGCCAGTTCTAAGGGCTCATTAGTCCACAGGACAGTCGGCACTTCTAGCTTGACCCAATGCGTGTCTCTCTCTCTCCCTCCCCTCTTCTTTCTTGATTGTGGAAGGGACAACCACGTTACTTACACAGTTTCCTTTTATTTCTCAATCACATGATTCAGTGACCTCCCCAGCCCTCTATATCTTTAACATGATACCTCCCAGGACCATAGTATACCATACTAGACATTTCTTTAACTCCTCGTTACAGCAAGACTAATACAACACGGAGAAGAAAAGAAATAAAGACAAGATTACGACAGCCATGGACTCTTACAAAAGACTAACAGAAGGAACATCCCGGTTTGATCTTTCTGAACTATGCATCTTATATCGGTATAGTATTGGTATCTATTTATTACCTATTGTTATTTTTTTATCTTTGCTAGTTAATCAGGTTTTTGGGTACCGGGCCATCCTGGTTACCCTGCTATGGGCCGTTCCCCTGGCTTATGCAGGTCTAGTTTACCCATATATATATACTTTAAAAAGAGTTGGTGTAACTACAATTTGGATAAATTGGATTTTTTACTCTCAAAACACTACAAAATTTTAATAATTTCATATCTCCCACAGGATTAGCGGGGGGTGTGAGAAGAGCTAACCCCAGAGTAAAGAGAACTGAACGTGTTAGTGAGGTAGTGATATAATGTGGTGACTAATCTTAAGGCAATGTTTATCACTCATATTTAAAGACAAAACTTCTAATCAGCAACCTCAACAGGAAATGGCACGTTTTTATCATTCGTAACTTTTTTCAAGCAATAAATAAGTTGTTCACGGAATTTCGCAATTAGCGCAAAAGGTAACCGAGGAACTCGTGGATTTGGACAGGGTTTGATTCGTTTAATTACTACCGAGACCATTTTTCTTGTCGATCGGAAAATTATTGATAAAGTTAGTGATAATGTTAGTGATAAAGTTAGTGATAAAGTTGGTTACAATAATGATACTAGTTACAATATCTAAGACAGTTTCTTAATCTGAGCGAAGTATAAATCGAAACACGTGATGACATGACAGCAAGCCGGATTACCTCAAAATGATATTGTAATGACATTTTTATAATCTACGGATTTTTTCTAAACCTCGACAAACGAGCCAAATCTTAAGTTTTTGTACTGGTTCGATACCATTTACCTTTGATTATAATTAATAATTTTTCTATTTTTGTATTTCATAAAAACATTCCGGACAATAAATGTGCTTTTACTACTCCATTGTTCATTAAGCAGAGGAATGAGAATCTATTATATTATGTATCTAGAACTGATGTAAACGACATTTCAATAAATTTAAAATAAAACTAAGTCACCAACATCCACACCAGGATACAAACTTCCACGATACATTAAGTTTTTTCCAAACAATGATCTAGGTATTCACCAGATCAAATTCCAAAGTCACACTCACATACCTGAGCTGAGAAGGAAGACTGTGAAGAGGAGGTTAGCTACAAATGCGGCAGCCTGAAAGTTAGTGACAGCTGCGGAGATAGCCATAGCCATGCACCGGCTACTGTAGACTGCCATGTAGGTGTACAGACAGTTTCCTAGGAACTTTCCTATCTGCAAAAAGTTTACTTTACTATCTGAGTCAAAAGTTCGCTTAAAATTGTCATCAGTTTCGCAGTTTAAAGTAGTCAAACTCAATAGCGCTAGATTTGGAGGACTACAAACTTACACGCTTACAGGTGTTACAAGGTGTTGCAGGTGTTGCAGGTGTTACAGGTGTTACATGTGTTACAGGTGTTACATGTGTTGCAGGTGTTACAGGTGTTACATGTGTCGCAGGTGTTACAAGTGTTACAGGTGTTACATGGTGTTACAAGGTGTTACAGGTGTTGCATGTGTTGCAGGGTGTTACAAGGTGTTACAGGTGTTACAGGTGTTACATGTGTTACATGTGTTACAGGTGTTACAGGTGTTGCAGGTGTTGCAGGTGTTACAGGTGTTACATGTGTTACAGGTGTTACATGTGTTACATGTGTTACAGGTGTTACAAGGTGTTGCAGGTGTTACAGGTGTTACAAGGTGTTACAAGTGTTACAGGTGTTACATGGTGTTACAAGGTGTTACAGGTGTTGCATGTGGTGTAAAAACGAAACTGCTATTACACGGCAACCGGCTTGACTGGCCTTAACGGGGCGCTCCCTGGTCAAAGGATAGGGCGACTAGAACTAACTGAACCTGTATTAAACAAGGTCTAAAACCTAATAAACCGCTCCCGATAAACGAGGAGTTAATAATTAAACGTAGCTGTATAAAACGAGCTACGGGTGCACCTGTCTAAAACAAGATACAAACTTAATAATTAAACTCCCGGTAAACGAGGAGATGAGGACTCAGCAACTCGAGGTAGTGGCTGCACGTAGATCTGACAGTGAACTCCGGTGAGCTGCGATGTGGTGACTCAGTCTGTTTAAAAACAAGAAAGGTGGAAGGCTGCCGGAGTCTGTATTTTAAACAAGACTTAAATTTAGTGTACTGTACCAAATAAAACGCTCTCGTAAAACGGTCGAAACTTTATAACTCAAAACCCGACGAATGCCCGGCTACATTTACAGAAGTGTCTATCTCCCAAAATCTCTCCCTTATCTCTAAAAAAGGGCTCGTAACAATGTGATAAATAAACAAAACCGCCGAACGAACTAAAGATAAGAAAGTAAATGTACGAATATGAAATAGAAACGTGAGATAACATTAAAATAAAAGTGGCAAAAAAACGATGAATTAAAATATTAAAATGTGAAATAAAACCTAAACTGAGGACTACAAAACTACACCATACTCCCCGGGACAATTTGATCGATTTGATCCTCGCCTATAAATGAGGCGTAGATCGAATTGACTAAAACTTTTAAAAAAAACTCCACTAATACAATCAATAATAAATATCCAATAAAATATATAAAAAATATAAATATCAAAATACCAATGAAATATCATATCATTATCTGTCCCCTTATCAAAAGAAATAAACTCTATCGATTCGATCCGAATTGACTAAATCCCCACTACAATATAACAATCAATAATAAATATCCAATAAAATTTTAAAAAATATAAGTATCAAAATACCAATGAAATACCATATCATTATCTGTCCCCTTATCAAAACAAATAAACTCGATCGATTGGATCCGAATTGACTAAATCCCCACTACAATACAATCAATAATAAATATCCAATAAAATTTAAAAAATATAAGTCTCAAAATACCAATGAAATACCATATCATTATCTGTCCCCTTATCAAAATAAATAAACTAAAATGGCACTCTGTTTAAAACAAGAGGCACTCCCATGATGATGGCACTCTGTATCAAACAAGAGGCACTCCCAAGATGTATAGACGAGATTTCTTGTACGTTTCTTCTTCCATACGTTTCTAGACGTCTTCATAAGCAGTTTCTTTCACGGTTCTCCTCTGACGGAGAATGAGGTAAAGATCCCAGAAGAATTCGGCCGTAACAAAGCCCAGACTCCAGTGCATGTAGTTAATATCAACAAGCATATCCTTCAACATATCCAGCATACAACATAATATCCCCATCATGTTTACAAACAGTTTAGCTGTCAAATAACAAGTGCAACAGTACACTGTACAGAGCAAGGACTGGGCTGATATCAGTCTGTCTAAAACGAGATTAAGACGTCCCAGAATCCTATACTACTATATTCTGAAATAATCAGGCGGACGTAGATCGTTACGTGGCCTCAGGTTATATCCTCCTATTCGTTGAGTCTCCTGTTCTGGCGTTACGTTTTCTCGTGGTGGAGTAAAGAAGTCCTGCACGACCGATGTAGCCCCTTCTGTCGACGCTGACGAGGTAGTAGGCGATAATGTCCTAGGTCGTGGTGAATGAGATACACTTCCTCCCGACAAGCTTGTTGGAGGTGTGGGCAACCTTCTTGGTGTAGATCGTGTCGTTGACTGAGCATCATCGCTCTGAATCACTATCTGCTTGTCTTGTGCTTTTCGACGCGGAGTCCCCCAGTATTCCTCTTCCTGGTCGTCATCACTACTGCTATCTATGTCGATAGATGTGTTTCCTTTCATGCTCTTACGAGTTTCATCAGGTTCCTTAGGCTTTTCTGGGGTCCGACGTGAATACTTATTTGTCTCAAATCTCTTCATTTTGCAAATATTAACGACCTTTTCCACACCCTGTCCTAAGTCAACGACGTACAGGTGGTCATTTATCACTTTCGTGATTCTGAATGGTCCACGAAACCTTGGCTCGAACTTATGTCTGGGACACTGCACCAGTACAAAACAATGATCACCCTCCTTGAAGTAGGGTCCGTGTAGGTTGCGATCGTGCTGTTTCGCTGCATAGCCAAAATCTTTCTGGGACTGCTTCCTAACCTTCCAGATGATTCTCTTTAGCTCCATGTGGTTCTTGTAAACAGCTGCTGCAACAGTACTGGTTCCCTCGGATTCTACCTTCTCCGCTGTCCCCATCACAAAAGTCAATGGTAGGTTAACCTCCCTTCCAAACATCATTTTGTGAGCAGAAAATCCAGTTCTGCGATTCTTGGAACAGTTAAGGGCAAATGTGACCTTATCTAAGTATAGATCCCAGAGATGTTCCTTATCATCGGGCAGACAAGTGCGGAGGGCAGTGTTTAACCGCTTGTTGTTATTCTCAGCACGTCCTGTACTCGCTGATTTGTATGAGGTCCCATGAGTTTTTTTACATTCGAAGGCCTTAAAAACCTCGCCGAAAAACTCAGCTCTGAATCCTGGGTGATTATCCACAATAATCTCTCGACAGACACCAAATCTCCAGATCCAGTTCTTCATGATAGCCGCAATGTTCTCCTTTGCAGTTTGAGTGCGCACCGGCACTGCCACCACATAGTTCGACCATGCATCAGAGATAGTCAGGATATAGCGATATCCACGCGGCGTTCTTTTCGTGGCACTGGGCACTATGTGATCGACTATGATTGCATCGTTAAAATTGTGGAACATGATGTGATTCAAGGGAGCTTTTAGGTAAGCTCTAGGTGGTTTCATCTCCCCACATTTGACGCATGCTTTGACAAACAGATCAAATTCTGTTTCCATTTTTGGCCAGTAGAAGTACTGTCTGCATCTCGCAACACAAGCGTTAGCACCCGGGTGACAGTACGTAATGTTTTCATGAAACAGTCTCATGATATTTTCTTCACACCTTTCTGGCACTAAGATAAGGTAACGTGTCTCATCTTCATTCCTTTTTACCCATTTTCTCTTGAGGAGCCCGTCTTCCAATATTATCAGATTAAATTGCTTCCAATATGATAATAATCTTTCAGGAGTTCTGTTAACCTGTACCATTCCCGTTGCTTAGCAACCACCCATTCTTTAACAACACTAAGAATGGAGTCTGCTTCCTGTTCCCTTCTAATATCGTCCAAATCGGGAAGAACTTGAGTGACTGGTTCTGCTGCAGTCTGAGAAATAGCAAAGGTTACTTGTTTTTTAGGTTTGTGGCTCTTTTTGTCACGGGGTGCTTCCAAATGATTACAGTAACATCCTGGAGTTCTCTGTGCCTCCGGCTCAGTCTTTCTTAGTATGACAGTTCCATCATGCTCTCTTTCAAACAAAAGTTGCAGGTCTGTAACTTCATCCTGCAGGTCCAAATCAGAACCCTCTCGAGATACTGTCTCTGCGACATCCTCTATCGCATCACTCAAAGTCAACGTATAGTCAGCATTGTCAATTATAATCTCTGACTCACTGGGAACTCTTTTCATTTCACATTCCTCGCTTATTGTCCCCTCTGGTTTGCAACCAGATCTTTCCTCAGCTTTAACCGTGGGCGATTCAATTTCACGACCACAAGCACTAACTCTTCCAGTAAGTTCTTGTGCAGTAGACCTGCGTTCATCATTTCGCGAACACTTATCAAGCCCTATGTGTCCTCCCTTATCAGTATCTACCACTTCCGTCTGACATCCCATGTCAACTGTCTTCCTCCTGAATGGGAATCTACTCAAGAAGTCACAAAGCGTGTTTTTCTTGCCCTCTACATGCTCTATTGAGAAGGTGAAGTTAGCTAGTTCCTGGCACTTTCTGATGAGAGACGGATCAGATTTAGAAAACAACGAGTCAGTAGCCGATAGTAAACTTTTGCAATCTGTCAAAACTTTGAACTCCGTATTTCTCAGGTACATCTTCCAATGTTGAATCGCCAATACCATCGCATCGAACTCAAGCTGAGTCTGGCTACGTTCCCTCTTAAACTGTGGGACCGCCTTGCTGTAGAACGCAACTATTCTCCTCTCTCTTCCCCCGTTAACTGGAAGTTCCTGTGAGAGTGTGGCACCGTACCCATGTTTGCTAGCGTCAACCTGAACCTGGTATGACTTGTAAGGGTCGCTGGTATCTGGAATAGCTAAGATAGTGCTCTGGGCTACTGCGTTTTTCAGCTCCTCAAATGCTCTCTGACACTCACTGCTCCATTCAAACTTGGTATCCTTAGCAGTAAGCTGGTGAAGCGGTCTCGCTAACCTACTATAGTTCGGGATCCACTTCCGAACATAGTTTAGGGCTCCTAGCACCTCTTGGACCCTCTTACTAGTAGTAGGAACAGGTAACTCAAGTAAGTCCTTGATCCGGTCTTCTGTGATCTGTATTCCTTCATCACTAACAGATACACCTACGAATGTCACTTTCCTCTTTAGTAACTCGCACTTTTTGGGGGTGAGCTTTAAATTGGCACTCATCAACCTTCCTAGTAGTATTTCTAGCCTGTTAAGATGATCCTCCACCGATGTAGAGCTCAAAAATAGATCATCTATAAAGAAAATTAGCTGATCGATGGGAATAGTGGCCAGCAACTTGTACATCATCCTCGAAAATGCACTACTAGAGTTTTTGTGCCCCATAATCATTCTAGCCCAACAATATGACTTGCCCCTGTAAAGAAATGCGGTCATTTTCTTTGACTCCTTAGAATACGGAACCTGCCAGAAGCTTTTACTGAGGTCGAAACTTGAAAACAACGTATCTGCTCCTATCGTGTCTAGCACGTGGTTCAAGTTAGGCAAGGGATACTTCTCATCTAGACATACCTTGTTAAGATTTCTAAGATCAGCTACAAGTCGCCATTGGTCAGGTGTATTCTTCTTTACCAGAAAAATGGGAGAGTTAAACTCACTGGGCTCAAACGTTGGTTCCACTACACCAACCTTGACCATCTGGTCTATCTGCCTGTCCATTTCGTCTCTGAGCTTGTAGGCCGTCGGGATGGGCGTAGTCCAGGCAGGTGATGTCCCCTCCTTCAGTTTTATTTCAGTCTCAAACTCTGTACAACACCCGATATCAAACTCGTTTCTTGAGAAACACCCTCTATGCTCCCAGATTATCTGCTCAAGACGCTCCCGGTCACTAGCTGTCATCTCTGCTTCAACCTCGCCAAGTTTCAAGCTCTCGAACAGTTCCCTCTTAGTCCACTGGTCAGTGCAGCTGCTATCCGGTACCCTATCCCTACCTGTAGCGTCCTGAATCCCGGAAACGTCCCTGTGTCTCGCTTCAGCCTCAGGCTTTACTATCTTAACACCGTGTATCATGTGATGATCCCCTAGCGGTTTTAAATGTCCTATGACAGTATTTCTAAATATTTGAATGGGCCTGTCGGTGGCGTTGATGCATTTCACCGGGACAAATTTACCGCGGGAGTGGACTACTGCTGTAGCCATCAAAATGCCTGTACGCTGCAACCCATTTCTACAATGCGGTTCCATGATGCCCTGATAACTCCCGCCTTTTGCCTGGATTCGGCCTCCTACAAATTGGGCTGTGTTTGGCGGAATCACAGTCACCTTCGCACATCTGATCTTGAGCCGATCCTTCACAGTTACGTTAGTAGGCTTCTTTCTGAATCCGATACTATTGCCGTCTTCCAGGGTTAGTTGGCATTTCTTATAGTCTAATACTATCTTATTGGTCCTGAGAAAATCATCCCCTATAAGAAATTCAGTATCTAATAGGTCTGTAACTATGAAATCATGAGAAAAGTGACCTCCAGCTATTACAATGTCCATCCGAACACGGCCCTTGATCGGAATCGTGTCCTGAGAAAACGACTTCAGAACCATCTTACAACTACCAACGTTCTCCTCCAACCCAAGCTTTTTTACTAGCCCCGTAGAAACAATGCTAACAGCTGACCCACTATCTACGAAAAAGAGGACATCAGCACCTCTGCAAAGGCCTTGAATCAGAATATGTTTCCACGACACTGCATTAACCTGACTACTATCTGGCTCTAATTCTAGAACCTTCCTCCGCGACTGTAATTGGTCAGGTTTGAACCAGCCGCGTACCCGTTTAAATGCTCATTCTGGTAGTTCATCTGTTGGTGTTGTCCCGGTACCCTCTCACCCTGGCGTTCAACCCGACTTCCCCAAGTACCAGATCTATTTGACGGACAGTCTCTCCTGTAATGTCCCACTTGCTGACAACCATAACATACGACAGCTCTCCCTCTTGGAGCTGGAGGTGCAGTGGAGTTTCCCGTCCTATATCCACCTCTTCCTCTATTGGGAATGCTGGCTGTACCCATCTCTCTACAAACTCGGGCAACATGCCCAGTCTTGTCACACAACTGACACGTGATTCCTGCCCAACAGTTTTCTGACACGTGACCCGATTTGCCACATTTCTGACAGCCTGTATTTCCCGGCACTGGTTCGCTCCCAACTCCGAACAATGGCACTCCAGAGAACTCCTCAACCGGTGAAACACTGTCATCTTGCTCCTCCAGAGCCTGTGAGATGTGCTCCTCTTGCACTGCAATTTGTGTCACGTGATCCAGATTTTCATCTTCACTATCTCCCATCTGCAACAGTCTACGTTTTATCGCTATGTTAGATAAACCAGAAATAAAGGCGGTCACAGCGGCTCCTTCTCGCTCTAGTCTTGACGAGAATATAATCTCTGCGCTGTCACGTATTCGCTCCGAAAACTGTTCGACTGACTCTCCTGTCTCCTGTTTCATGCGACCAAACTTAGTCCTCATTATCCGGGTGTCAGTCGATGGGAAAAGCCTAGTCTTAATGGCAGAAATAAATCTCTTAATATCTCTTTTTTCATCCCCAGTAAACTGAAAGTTAGAGATCTTCTTGAACAGAGAATTGTCCTCCACTAATCCGCTGATTCTGAGATCTAGGTTGTCACATATACCGGAGAGTCTGACATGATGCTCAAAGCGCAGCAGAAAGGTACTAAAATCATCCCCTTTTCTGTAACGAGGAGCTTTACTCCCGTGGAACTGACGTGGAGCTCTCTCCTGTGGCCAACTCAGCTCTGGTGAGCCCACACTAACTTCAGACTCGTCACGTAACCAATCAGAAGCTTCCTTTTTGACAGCTGGTCTACTGAGTTCAACCTTAGCATTGACCGTCATATTAGTCAACCTTTCTGTGTTCTCAGCCAGGGATTTCCCTATTCGTTTGAACTCTTTTTCCATGTCATACAATGCGATTTTCCTCTCACTGATAGGACCTATATCATCTGGTTCCAGTTCATCAAGACTGGCCTCAGCCCTACTGATTTGTTCTTCCAGATCAGCTCTTTGTTTCTTCAAGCTTGTAATATCCGCTTGCAGCTCTAGCGTACTACCCTGACTTTCCATAACGACCACTTATTACGGCCTCCAGATGGTGTAAAAACGAAACTGCTATTACACGGCAACCGGCTTGACTGGCCTTAACGGGGCGCTCCCTGGTCAAAGGATAGGGCGACTAGAACTAACTGAACCTGTATTAAACAAGGTCTAAAACCTAATAAACCGCTCCCGATAAACGAGGAGTTAATAATTAAACGTAGCTGTATAAAACGAGCTACGGGTGCACCTGTCTAAAACAAGATACAAACTTAATAATTAAACTCCCGGTAAACGAGGAGATGAGGACTCAGCAACTCGAGGTAGTGGCTGCACGTAGATCTGACAGTGAACTCCGGTGAGCTGCGATGTGGTGACTCAGTCTGTTTAAAAACAAGAAAGGTGGAAGGCTGCCGGAGTCTGTATTTTAAACAAGACTTAAATTTAGTGTACTGTACCAAATAAAACGCTCTCGTATAACGGTCGAAAACTTTATAACTCAAAACCCGACGAATGTTCGGTTACATTTACAGAAGTGTCTATCTCCCAAAATCTCTCCCTTATCTCTAAAAAAAGGGCTCGTAAAAATGTGATAAATAAACAAACGGCCGAACGAACTAAAGATAAGAAAGTAAATGTACGAATATGAAATAGAAACGTGAGATAACATTAAAATAAAAGTGGCAAAAAAACCATGAATTAAAATACTAAAATGTGAAATAAAACCTATACTGAGGATACAAAACTACACCACATGTGTTGCAGGGTGTTACAAGGTGTTACAGGTGTTACAGGTGTTACAGGTGTTGCAGGTGTTACAGGTGTTACAGGTGTAACATGTGTTACAGGGTGTCCGTCAGTATTGAGGTTCAGTACCGTACAATGTGTCATGAGTCGTCAGTCACTCAGTCACAGCATAACTACATATAATATATATTTATACCTGTAGTCGCATCTCTATAGTCGTATCTCTGTAGTCCCTGTAGTCGCATCTCTATAGTCGTATCTATACTAGGTTTACCCAAGTTAAGTAAAAGTTTAATCGAGATAATATCTCTTCAAAGTCGCTGAATAAGTCGTCAGTCTCAGTATTATATGTGGTGAACAAGGTAAATACACGACAGATGTCTTACCGTTGGTTGGAGCCCAGCAAGCCAGTACATAGGCACAGTATACAGCACAAGGAACGCCGTGTGAAACGGAAGAGTGGAGAGAACCTTCGAGAAGAAATAAGGACCTGTGGTGTACAGTCCATCCTCCATTTCACGGTAAAATATTTCCCGCTCGGCGTTAAACTTGGCTATCGTGTCCAGGATCACAATGAAGGGGTACAGACCTCCCATTATGAAAAACAGGCCCTGAAGATGTACAAATTATTATGTTTTTTTAACTAAGGGACTCTTAATCGAAATGAATACTTAAAAAATCGTGTGATTTTACAGCTGTGATGAATACCAAACTGTGTAACAATTTAAAAAATCACTTTGCAGTGATAATATTCGTTTATTTCACATCTAACAGTTACATTTCGAGCCCTTGGCTGCCTGTCTTTGCGGCCGAGATAAAGTAATAATTGTTCCGTTTTCCCAATTTTAGCAGATCAAAGTGTTTCCAAGATCACGTGCCTAGCAATTCATTCGCACATTTCGGTTTCGTGTACTGGAAATTGTTAGTTAACGTGATACGCGTCTCGTGCCCTTTGTGCACACTGCAGTATGACTTTAATATCACGTTTACCAACTTTTCTTTATATATCAAAAGGACTCAATATGTTAATTATATCACGCAATGATAATTTTGACATCTTGTTAACCTTATTGATGACATTATCACTTCGAGATGGCCAGGCCTACTCTCATGCTGTATGTGATGATTAACTCTGAAAAACTAGGGACAACTGGGGAATGATCCCAGAACCTCGAGATTTCGCGTCTCTTGCTCTACCAATTGAGCTACTGACCCTGATTCTCAGAGCGAAATCACCACTCATATACAGCACAATTTCATGCTTTGTGTGGAATATCATTTATCAGTTATTTAGAATATATATTCGCATTTATCCACACTATATTTACATTACACGTACAACGTGATATCGTTATCAGTGCAGTGTGTACAACACCAACTACACCGATCAATTGCCAATCTGCGAAACATTTTAATTATTATTATCACTTCGAGATGGCCAGGCCTACTCTCATGCTGTCTACATGTAATAATAATTAAAATGTTTCGCAGATTGGCAATTGATCGGTGTAGTTGGTGTTGTACACACTGCACTGATAACGATATCACGTTGTACGTGTAATGTAAATATAGTGTGGATAAATGCGAATATATATTCTAAATAACTGATTATTGATGACAGTATGAATGATTAGCTCACTAATTTATACGCTAAGTATTACCACCTGTTTTTACAAACCAATATTGTAATTGACTTTGAAGTCGAACGAAAAGTCAACATTTACTATTTTACTTTGTTCAAGTCAAACGTCAAACCGAAGTTCACACATTCAAATACAATGGTTTTGTCTCATTTCTGGATCAGCTGTTGCGTCAAGAAAACAAAAGATGAGCCACTCCTACATCAGTCAAAAGACTTTTACCAGGGGGGGTTGTGACGTCACCAGGGGTTGTGACGTCACCAGAAACAAAAGATGAGCCACTCCTACATCAGTCAAAGACTTTTACAGATGCTACTTAAACCGAAGATAACTCACAAAGATCCACTACGATTTTCTAAATCTATCAATCATGAAGCTTCAATTTCTTGTCCTGATTGTCGGTCTTATCTACTCGACGAGTAGCATAACAGTAAAAGAAAGGTACTTCTCTACCTCCAAAACCATCCTATACTCCGGATACTGGGGGGACTGGGGAAGTTGGCAGAACTGCAGAGACGGAGGATACGCTGTCTCCTTTGCTCAGAAGGTGGAGCAACCCCAGGGAGGTGATGATGACACAGCACTGAACGGTATCTGTTTCCAGTGTAGCAACGGAGGGGAAGTGTGCAGTTCTGTGAGCAGCTGGGGGAGTTGGGCTCACAGTAGCAAGTGTGACCCTGGTTTTAAGGGAGCTAACTTTAAAGTGGAGGGTAAGCAAGGTGGTGGAGACGATTCTGCAGCTAATGGTTTGATGCTGGTTTGCCAAACTGGGGGGAGTAAACAAACAAGCAACGAGGGAGGGTGGGGTTCGTGGCAGGGATACAAGTACTGTGTCTCCGGACAACACATCTGTGGGATCCAGACGAGAGTCGAGGCTTTTCAAGGAGCGGATGATGACGAGGATGACACTGCCCTGAACGGAGTTGATTTGAGATGCTGTGGAAGATATCCTCTGTAAAAGTTCAACTTGTAGAGATATTCAGCCGATCTGCTGATGGTAACCCTGATTCTGAGGGAGCCAAATACTCCAAACAAATCCAGTCAACCTCAGGTCTTGTCTCTCTAACCGGTCATTACCAGACCTCTACTGCCTACGACGTAGCTACACGAGTCCAACAGGTATCTGACTACACCACCGCAGCTGGAGCCATCGCAACCGACGACAATTCTGGTCTGACCACTCTCTAGAGAACGACTACTTGAATATGCTGGTTAAAGAGGTGTTATCATCTGCTCTGGACAACAAGCACGGTTCCTCCTCTGTCACTCTGACTGTTCCTGTGAACGTGTACGTGGGAGTGTACGCGTACGTGGGTCAGACTACTGTTGCTATGAGTGATGGCTCTGTGATGCGGTTTAAGGGAGACAAGATGATCTTCAGTCCGAGAAAGCTGGATACCTCCAACTTTACTGTTCTGTAAAGTTCTAGTGTCTTAAAGATTTGATTTTATTTTATTTTATTTTTGTTCATGTAAACCAACGGTGTTTTAATTGTAATATTAAAAATAAGTTACTCGTCACGTACCGTCTAGCTACGGTCTCTTATTGAGACATGTTGAAAGGTTGAAGAGAATTAAGATGCTCACACGATATTGAGGTTCCTATAAATTTTGGCACGGCAAACCGCTAGATCTTATAATAAAGGAGATAATATCTTATTTAAAAGAGATAATATCTTGTTTTAAAAGAGATAATATCTTATTTGAAGGAGATAATATCTTGTTTAAAAGAGATAATATCTTATTTGAAGGAGATAATATCTTATTTAAAAGAGATAATATCTTATTTCTAACTTACCACTCTATCTCTAACAGAGATCTGATCGAATCCCAGGTTGATGAAGATACACCCTATCATGATGCTCATGAAGAGGGCCTCTATAGCTTGTATCAAGAGCGAAGAGTAACCTGAAGTAAAACAGCACAATATTACCTAGAATAACTATATCTTGGAATAACCAAACCTCGATATTGGATATATTTAACTAATTATTGAGTCACTCTGCAACTTGATTTAGTACTCCAGATTTCACGCTAATGGTCAGTAGTACAATATAGCCACATGTAGTACAATAGTAGTAGTACAATATAGCCACATGTAGTACAATAGTAGTAGTACAATATAGCCACATGTAGTACAATAGTAGTAGTACAATATAGCCACATGTAGTACAATAGTAGTAGTACAATATAGCCACATGTAGTACAATAGTAGTAGTACAATATAGCCACATGTAGTACAATAGTAGTAGTACAATATAGCCACATGTAGTACAGTAGTAGTAGTACAATATAGCCACATGTAGTACAGTAGTAGTAGTACAATATAGCCACATGTAGTACAGTAGTAGTAGTACAATATAGCCACATGTAGTACAGTAGTAGTAGTACAATATAGCCACATGTAGTACAGTAGTAGTAGTACAATATAGCCACATGTAGTACAATAGTAGTAGTACAATATAGCCACATGTAGTACAATAGTAGTAGTACAATATAGCCACATGTAGTACAGTAGTAGTAGTACAATATAGCCACATGTAGTACAATAGTAGTAGTACAATATAGCCACATGTAGTACAGTAGTAGTAGTACAATATAGCCACATGTAGTACAGTAGTAGTAGTACAATATAGCCACATGTAGTACAATAGTAGTAGTACAATATAGCCACATGTAGTACAATAGTAGTAGTACAATATAGCCACATGTAGTACAATAGTAGTAGTACAATATAGCCACATGTAGTACAGTAGTAGTAGTACAATATAGCCACATGTAGTACAGTAGTAGTAGTACAATATAGCCACATGTAGTACAGTAGTAGTAGTACAATATAGCCACATGTAGTACAGTAGTAGTAGTACAATATAGCCACATGTAGTACAATAGTAGTAGTACAATATAGCCACATGTAGTACAATAGTAGTAGTACAATATAGCCACATGTAGTACAATAGTAGTAGTACAATATAGCCACATGTAGTACAATAGTAGTAGTACAATATAGCCACATGTAGTACAGTAGTAGTAGTACAATATAGCCACATGTAGTACAGTAGTAGTAGTACAATATAGCCACATGTAGTACAGTAGTAGTAGTACAATATAGCCACATGTAGTACAATAGTAGTAGTACAATATAGCCACATGTAGTACAATAGTAGTAGTACAATATAGCCACATGTAGTACAATAGTAGTAGTACAATATAGCCACATGTAGTACAATAGTAGTAGTACAATATAGCCACATGTAGTACAGTAGTAGTAGTACAATATAGCCACATGTAGTACAATAGTAGTAGTACAATATAGCCACATGTAGTACAATAGTAGTAGTACAATATAGCCACATGTAGTACAGTAGTAGTAGTACAATATAGCCACATGTAGTACAATAGTAGTAGTAGTACAATATAGCCACATGTAGTACAGTAGTAGTAGTACAATATAGCCACATGTAGTACAATAGTAGTAGTACAATATAGCCACATGTAGTACAATAGTAGTAGTACAATATAGCCACATGTAGTACAATAGTAGTAGTACAATATAGCCACATGTAGTACAATAGTAGTAGTACAATATAGCCACATGTAGTACAATAGTAGTAGTACAATATAGCCACATGTATATTGTATAATGATGCAGAACAGTATTGCAGATCAGCTGTAATATTTGCTTGGTTATTCAACATTCATTACACGATTCCCACGGTTGTTTAATAATGGGAATAATGCGCAACCAGTACAATACAATATACATGTTACTAAAAATGGCCGAATCCTGATCACGCACAAATCATTATCTCATAATATGTCAGTTTAATTAAACTGCTTCAAGATCAACTGTTTATTAATTAATCGACTAGACATGGCTTCCATTACGTTATTCTATGCAACAATTACAAGTATAATAGCTTTCATCATAGCTTTTCATCACTATATCACGTTAAAATAGATATATCGTTAATTTGGTATTATCATCTACACATTCTACAGTAAAACCCCGATATACCACGCCCCGATTTACTGCCAACCCCGATTTACCGCGGATATTGCCTTTCCCCAAACTCCATGGTAAATCGGGGTCTTACTGTACGTTGAATAACAATAATGAGAGAAAAGTTAAAGTTAATATATCCTGACCTTTTAGTTCGTTTTTAAAAGCCCGGACAATGAGGATACGGAATTGTCTGACCAGACTTTTAGAGTCGCTCCCCTTGGGGGGCTCGTCAAATGTTATACCCAGTCCTGAATCTCCGTCTGTCAAACTGAAAATTAACACTCGGCTCAGTTTTACAATATAATTATAGTCAATATAACTGTAGTTACTACTATTAAAAGTAAAGTATTATTAATATACAGTAGTACTTTTAGTGTATACACTATAGAGTGATGATAGTCTAGTATAGAGTATTATAATAGATTGGGCTAGTATTCAGCTTGCAGGTTGGAGTTTTAACTGACAATCAAACTTAAGGCCAGGGTATTGGGTAACGTGAGATGTGATAATATATTATGTTGTAGCACTAGTGTTGTACCTTTGTGAAATCTGTGAGTGCCTGGAGTTAGAATCACTTTCACTCTCCACTGAGCTCCCAAGACTGATCTTAGCAGAAGTGTACATACCACTAGGTACATCTGTTGTTGCTTCCTGTTGCAAATGGTTTATCGTAATAATAACAATATTAACCGTCCTCAATATAGAGTTTGTTTACACCCGGCCTGGGAAATCCGTCTCTAACCCGAAAAATTAAGAACCTTAAACTTTGAAATAAGATTATCCAACCTGAAACAGTCTGAGGAGTTTATTCATTCTCTCTCTGGACACAGCCTCATTCTCCTTGTGTCTGTGGTCAATGGTGGTTAGATCTATGTAGAAATCACAAGGGTTCGTCAAAGGAGGGCAGGGGTATCCAATTAGCGTGAAATAGTCCAGCATTGCTTTAGCTTGTCCGGCATATACCACATGACCATCTGTAGAATTATAGAGAATAAAACAAACTTTTTTATGAAGGAGTAAGAGATTAATTGAAATACTTTCATTCGCCTTATTTGGCACCGATGATTGGGTAAGTTATCTCATTATTCATGACAAATTGCTTGTTTCCGGCGTTATTGATACCACATTTGTATATTAATATACAGACAAATTAACATAAATTAGCATATTAGAAAAGTAGATTATATTACAATGCGCGCTCATTATAACATTACTTACTACAACAGTTTATTCAATATGACATTTAGGTGGGACTCTTGATTACTGGCCAATTCAACCCACTACTAAGACAAAAGAGATATAACTATTATGTGTATTGCTGTTTCTGCAGCATGTTTACCTGTACACAAAACTGTATACACTATTATACACAGATACCATCAACTGCACTTCACAAGGAGAGACAGAATGTATGGCAGTGTGGGGTATCAAGGTATCACATTACTCATGCGATGTTGCAACAATATAATGGAAGAAACATAATCGTGCTTGTTCGGAATAGAATCGGCAGTTCCACAACCGTACTCTAGTACCCAGAGTATAACTTTTCACATCTAATTAGTTAGAGGACCACAGTTAATTCATAATGTGAAGATTCGAAATCTCAACTTCAATCGATCGTAATTTTGTTCAAAAATAAACTAACAAACATACGCATTGGCAAAAAAACATTCATACTGACATTCAAACACACATAATGTAGTACACAAGTAGTAATACACAAGTAAACTGACCTGAGAGGATAGTCATCAGATCGAACAGTTCGAAGATGTCTGATCTGGGCTGGTGTATAGTGAGTATAACGGTACGACCTGACTTGGCAAGCTCTGACATTGTCACTATCAAGTGATGTGCTGTAAAGCTGTCCAGACCTAGAAATGTGGTATCTCAGTGTTATTATTGTAGGCTTATACGGTTAAAATAGACATTACATCATAATTACACCTTTCTGGTCTTTCAGAACCTTGGAATAGGAGAGTCAAATCGGGGAAACATCAGTATTCTACTTGCTTCTTGACTGGAGTTAATAACTCACGATGCTAGAAATCAATTAGTATTTAATGTAAGTAGAAATTAATCACCAGAAGTAGGTTCATCTAAAAACAATATGTGAGGGTCCATTAGCATCTGCACTCCGATACTGACCCTCCTTCTCTCTCCCCCACTACATCCCCTCACTTCCTCTCCTCCTACTTTACTGTTACAAACGTGTCGAAGTCCTAACTCTGATAGTACACTGAGGAGTAGGGAAATAAAAAATTAGAATACGAAATATGCCATGGATATTAATAGATTAAATTCATATTTACTGAATGATACTGAATTTCAATAAACTTAATAATAATAGATTGCATAACATTAAATGATGCAAAATTTCAATGAACCCCTTGAGTTGAAGTAAACCTGGTTACTCTATCAAGTTTCTTTTGTCTGGAGTAGGATGATGGTAGCTTGAGCTCAGCAACGAAGAGTAAGGTCTCACGGACAGTTAGATTAGGCAGAAGGTAGTCATCTTGACGAACATAAGCTGATATATCCTTCATCATTTCTTTATTCCTCATCTTGTTGTTTATCAGAACCTGTGAAATTAATGATCAATATCATGTGATCACCATTCACCAACTAATGATATCCAATTTAACGACAGTAAAACCTGGTTGTGCCGAGAACCCTATAATACTAAACCTTGATTAACAGTGTAAATTACCAAGAAATTTATCTTCCCCAAGATTCAACGTTAATTGGGGTTTTATTGAGTATGGAAAATTTCAATCCTCAACACTCATAAAGGAGAACACAGAGCAGCCTCATATAAGTTTTAAGGAAATTTCTATCACAACAAACATACCTCTCCTTCAACAAAGCCGCCTTCATGTCGATTGGCAATAACATCTAATAGTGTTGTTTTACCACTGCCTGATCCACCGAGAATAGCAAGCATTTGTCCACATTTCACAGTCAGGCTGACATCTTTCAAAATGTGTTTGCACTCCTCATCCCTTATGCTGGTACACTCAATAGATCTAAGTGGCTGTGTTGTTAGTGGGACCTGAAGAGATTGTGAGGTTTAAATCTCAAATGAAAACCATGTTTACTAAAATTAAGCATATGATAATAATTGTGCGCAAAAATTGCTTATCTCAAAATCATTTATATAATAAAATGTGTTATATATAAATTAAAATGCAATTTACACAGTAATTAAATAGTAATAAATTTTTTAACAATGATATGGGAAGCATAGATAAATAACCCAATGATACATCAGATTATTTTTCCATGTTAATAATCATACCCCCGGCCCCCTTAATAATCATACCTTGTAAAACAGATGCTTCACATGAACTTTCTTCTTGCATTTCTCTTCTGCAACGTTGGTGGCTAGTTCAATCGGTGTGCTAGTGTCTTGTCTCTCATAACGCATCACTCACCTATTATAAAAGTTAAATGTTTATTAACTCGTAAGTGAAGCATCTAAGGACATACTCTCTTTTTTTGATAATTTATACATAAGGCATATGCACAAATTTTGTAGTCTCAAAGGCAAAGGTGACGAAAATTAATGTAGTATGGCAAAACCCTTGAACTGGGCGAGGCTCAAACATTAGCATGGTCACAGGATTTGAAATTGACACCTGAGGGACTTCATGAATCATCATTGATAATAATTATATTTGTATACGTAGTATTATGATATTGTTCGACTCGTATATTCCCTCTTTACTTTTTGTGTCCTGAAATTACATCCATGAGACAAAATATAATCAGTCAGCTCCTTGATACGATGAGGTTGATGTATGGTATATAATGTGGTTATGATAACAATGAACCTATACTGCACAGAAAATCTGTTTCTTAGATCTTTTGTTACCAACTTTTGAGGAGGCCATGGTTCGGATAGTACTGGTCTAAATTTCTTCTAAAGTAGCGCGCGCAGCTTTTTTCGAAATATGACCAGATGCAAGTGCTACGAAGCGCCGGGTCAGTCCATTAAGAATAATCACAAATTATTATGTGATTTTGATTTTATGGTTTTGCAGCTGAACAAAACAATTTTACATAAACCCTAATCCCAACCCTAACCCTAACCATAGCCTAGCCCCGAAACTATCCATGACTATTGGGTTACTCTAACCAGAGCCCTCTTGCTTGTAGTAGTTTAACGGGTGATACTTGTAAAATATTTGTTTCAAATATTATACAAGATATACAGTATACATATTACACATTATATTATACAAGACCGTCGACGAGTCCAACCCTACCAAGTCGCGCGCCGAGTTGGACAAATATTTTACGAGTATCACCCGTTAAATAGCCTAAGGTGCACATTTGTGTAATATCTACTGGGCCGAGTAGACGTGATTAAGTAGACATGATTAAACATTAAATGAACTATGAGGCTGTAGGGGCCTGCTGAAATATTCCAAATCTTACCAGGGTATATAATATATATACTAGGCTACCCAATACTGAGTACCCCTTCAGTACATTTACATTGTTAGTATGTATACTAATATACTGTAAACATAGTTATTTATACCATAGTATACAAGCTATACTATTAAAAATACAAGTATAAAAACTCCGAAAAAAATATGAGGCCAAATCGGAAATGATTTTTATTTTCTTCGGGTAACTGTTGATGGTAGTAAAACAAATTTTAGTAAAACAAATTTAAATTTTGGTATTTATTAATAACAATCAAAACATATCATATCATAAAAATAAAGCCGCGCGTTGGTTGACTGCCTCAGTATGGTGAATAATTTAAGCTTGAAGGTGCCCTGCGCATTTACAGAACATTATGCGGCGATCACATGATCACGAGGACCTGTGAGCGCCAAATTTAATTTAAACTTTCTAGAAATCGTACATCACTACGAGTTACTCATGCTTTTGAATTATAGGAGTGCGGATTGTCATGTATTTCATTCATTCATACTTAATCGGTTTAAAGCTGTATATTTAGAGCTCACTATTGTTTGAACTATGAAAGCAGAACGTAAATAATGGACAATATACCGACGACAATACCAAGGACCCGAGTGCCGCATTGACTTTTCCGGATCCGTTTTTACCGAAGGCTTATCCACCAGTTACTCATGCTGCATGTATAGTCTGATAATATTTTGTTTTATCTCTAGCAAGCATTCTGTAAGTTGGAGTGTCGTATTTATATGAAGCATTTAAAAAAGGATCGAAATGTAGTATTAAATAGTAATATTGTTTACTGTGCAATTTACTCAGTGAAACAAAAGGCAATAAAACGTAAGAAGGGTACCCTTAGTAGTGTGGATACAAGGATATAAGGATACAAGGATAGTGATGATTACTTTATTGAGTACACAATATATCCTGTCATCACTCCTGGAGTAATGGATATTATATGTTTATTTCAATAAATATAATAATCAGTAAATTAGAACAGAATCTTGTCTTCTTTTCAGCTCACTCTTCTGAAACCTCTTCCTCTACATTCTCAACCTCATCATCAACTTCCTCATCTTCATCATCAACATCATCACCCCTGTCTTCATCGCTGGTGGTGTGTGCGAGTACACAATAGTTATAATTCTGAAATAATTTAAGTTAAAAAACAATTGGAATAATTTAGAAATATTACATTATGGTAGTTACAAAATAAATCGAATTTGTACAGTTCAATTTTATTTTGAGGTCCTATAGCATTATGCACTGGCCAGTATTTGAGTGGAAATCTGGGCTCTAAGCTCTTATAGTAGGCTGTATATTGTTTGTTCACAGAGAGAATTGAATGGATTGCTCTTGCTGTGGCAGTAAATTTTATTTGGTAGGGTCTAGAGTTTTATTGGACAGCAAACCTGCTAGGTCAGTGATATTTTCGGGATGGAAGTTAAATTTTTCCCTAACTGAGGAGTAGAGTAAACAGTCAGTCTTGGTACTAGGGGGTTTTATATCGGCCACTCTCAATGTACAGGTTGTGGCAGCTAATACGAAACCTTGTTATTAAGCTTTTTCGAGCATCAGGGATCTTTACCACTCCTAAATACATGTTTCTGGTTCAACGTCATGTTTAATTTGATTATAGAATTTTAAGTGTGTTCGTTTGCTATTCTGGCCGTATTTTTCTGTCTGTGTTTTTAGTATTTCAGTTGATAAGGATCCTATTGTTTCAGCTTTGCAAAATATACGTATCCTTGTTTTCAAGATTCCTCTTGTTTCAAAAATCCATATGCTCCAAAACCATGGCGAGCGTGCTAAATCACTATACAGTTGATCTTCGAGATTGTTCTAAAAGGGCCCCATACAGTTGAAACCAACTTCAATCGATGTATTTTCGGACGCTGATTCCGAATCACCCCCAATTACATAGGGTTAAAATGCTCCCTTGTAGCGCGATGCGTTACTGTGCCGCGCAACGCACTCAACGAGGCTTCTCACAGCGACATCGGTGAGATGCTAAATCGGCGAGATGCGCTACTGTGCCACACCGAGCTGCGATGAATTGACATCGTTATTTAAAATGCTCCCCTGACGAGATTTTGGCGAACAATTGTCTCGATCACGTGATATGACCTTACCTGGGGACCCCAGGCTATTATGTTCATAAACACGAATAAAGATTCGGCGGAATGACAGGCTGAGCGCCGCCCAGTAAGATATGACCGTATAAGGAAGTTCGTATAATTTCTCGTTAGGGTTAGGGTTTCAGCATATTCTTTTGTTAAGGATTGGTTAGGATTAGGGTTGGGATCAGATTAGAGGGTTAGGGTTTTGAATAGTCGTTCAGGACCAGCTAGAGAACCTGAGAACGGGTTGAAAAAGTTACGTGACAGTCGAGTGTACAGTGATTAATCATCATCCATTGTCATACGTTGTATGACCCGCCGCACACGAGTGCACGGCTCCCTCTGTATCGTAAGAACGACCGTGGGGGTCACGATTGCTCTATCCAGAGCCCTCTCGCTTGCAGTTACGGGGCGGCGCTCAGCCTGTCATTCCGCCGAATCTCTATTCTGTATTCGGGCTGAGTGAATTACGACATCCATCGCCCTGGAAAAAAGTGTGAATGCTCATTGGACGTTAGAGCGCACGTGATTAGCATTCACTTGACCATTGTTAATGATCTGGCCCGGCGCGCGCTACTTCGAAGAAATTTAGACGAGTAACATCCGTTAAGCATTCACGTGATCGTTCTTACCTGGGGACCTCAGGCTATTATGTTCATATTATGAATAGAGATTCGGCGGAATGACAGGCTGAGCGCGGCCCAGTAAGATCGTTCAGGACTAATTACAGCCGCGCACAAGATCACGTGCACGCCAACTACCAATTGGAAAGAAGTGACGTATGCGCTACAAAAGCGGTTTAGAGGGTTCAATTACGCCAGGCTATGTTTATGAATATAATAGCCTGGGGTCCCCAGGTAAGCTTGCAGTAGCGCGCGACCGCCGAAGTGAAACAAGCGCGTCACGCAGTCCACGTAGATTCATGGCTAGGTGACGTGTGAAGGGTCACGACGTGATATGTGATACAAATCATCCATCCATCAAATTTCAAAAATCAATCTCTAATCATCATGCATCATTTCGTAAAAATAGCGGTTGACAGATGATACTTGTCTAAATTTTTTGTAAGTAGCGCACGCTGATTTTTTCTTGAAATTTTATGGCCTGGGGCAAAACGCAAGTGTTACAAATTATAGCGCGCGCCGGGTTGGAGTTGGAGAGCGCGATTAGATTTCGCGTTCTGTGTACATATGTACAATTAAAACGTATAAGCATGTACATTGTACATGCTTATACGTTTTAAGTTTTTGTTATGTGATTAAGCTGTGTGATTGTAAAAATATAAGTATAAGCTATACAAATTTTTATGCTGATTTCGAATAAAACGTATTCACTATTTGACCAAAACCCATAATCATGGGTAGAGTGTACCGCTGCCAGTGTCTCTCTTTTCCAAACAAAAGGAAATGATATTAATTTGAATAACCGTCCGAAAATGCAAATTGATACCGAGAATGAAATCGGTCGCTCGCTTTTTCCATTCGATCACGGCTTACGAATTATAATATAAAGCTTATTGATTGGAAAAAGCGAGCGACCGATTTCATTCTCGGTATCAATTTGCATTTTCGGACGGTTATTCAAATTAATATCATTTCCTTTTGTTTGGAAAAGAGAGACACTGGCAGCGGTACACTCTACCCATGATTATGGGTTTTGGTCAAATATCATCTCTTTTTGATTATAATGTCAGGATAATTTACAAAGCCGAAATGTAAACTCATAACTTCATTAATATTTATATTAATAATTAGGAGGTAATTTCATCGATTTCGAAATTTTACCTGACTGAATATGGCACTTTTTACTCATTCAAGTTGGCATTAAATTCATATATAATGCCATTTAAATATCGTGGGAAAGCAGAATTTATTCGAAATCACGAATGAGCAAAATTCTCACCTTTCGCACGTGCAAACTTTGAGCGGACGTTGCGTGCGGATACAATATTGAATCACCGTAAATTTTTGCATAGCAGTATTTTATATATAGTTTAATAAGCATGCAAAGTTTCAGAAGATTTCATATAGAACTTGGATCACAACGGGACTCCAAAGTTGATAAAAATGGTGAAAACAGCAATTTTCAGTAATTTTAGCAATTTTCTATCAAATTGGGCGTGTCCCGACGTGTGCAACTTTTTGAATTTCAACTTTAAAACTAGCCTATAACACAATTTAGACCTTTAGGAAGCAAAATTGAGCTCCACAACCCAAGGGATGGCCCAACACCAGAGAATACTAATTCACAACTTTTGTGTTTTTATAAAATTATTCTTCAAAAAAGCACTTACTTCAATAGCGAATATCTTTATGAAGGAGCAAAGTAAGAAACTTTTCCGGTAGATTTTCAGAATGCTTGAACAATTATCTAAGATAAAAATGTCCTCAGATTTTGAATAAAATTACTCCTTAATGGTTTAAAATCGATTTGAAAAGTTGTTACTTTGTCAAAAATCAAGTTTTAAAAACACTTAATTTGATGACGTCATCAAGTGATGATGATGAAGATAAATTATTTTTTGATATAATGTAAACTAAAGTATAAACAATTATCTTCAAAACCTGTGGTTCGAAATGACTGTATCTTTTATACTTTTGAATCTACGGACACTTAAATGTAGGCTACAATTGACTGCAAATTGACTGCAAAAGCGTCTATACTATACTTCACGACAATCTGTTGTAAAACAGGGGTTCCAGAAAACCCACTTCCCGATACTCCTGAAACACGAATTTTTTTTTACAGTCGATTTGGACAAGGTCTAGACGCCCTGCAAAGTTTCAGATCTCTTACTCAATTTTAACATGGTTTTTAAGGCACCTGAATATGGCGATTTTGGGTTTTTTACCTAATTTCGTATAACATGCTGGCGCGTATTTTGCGCAAATTTCTTAAAAACCTCCACATAACTATTTCTTATTCCTGTCATCTTTAACATTGAATTAGAATGTTTTGAACTTAAATATAGGTACCTGCTGAACTACTTTCGATGAGTCTTAATGCCTGGAAAACAATAAAGGGGATATACTAGTATAGGGGGTAAATAGTATTGTGAATATAAGGGCGACGGTAATGCTTGCCAGCATTGTGATTACGTAGCATGGCATAAAAATCATTTCTTTGTTCTTGACGAGTTATGAGCAAATAATCATTTTTGTCATACGCGCGCACGTGACAAGCTTGTAAAACGATATTTGAGCTATTTATACTTTCGGATTTGAGTTAGTTTTTGTTTTAAAGTAATTGTGAAAACAATGCCAAATGTAAAGATTTGAAATTTTTGATCTAAATCTTTTGAAACAATATTATAAATGACCCTTACCTGGGGACCTCAGGCTATCGTGTTCATTAACAATAGAGATTCGGCGGAATGACAGGCTGAGCGCGGCTCAATAAAAATGACCCGTTTATAGGCTATTAGTTTTAGGTCCTGTCTAACGTTGAACAATTAAAACAGTTGGATAAAATACGAATAAAAGTAACGTTGACAATTTGTATAATATCAAGACGATAAAGATGGGAGTAAAGAGTCTATTCAGTAACAGAGTAAAGTCCGTGGCAAATCTCCCGTGCTAGAATCGAAGTGTCCTCCTTGCTGAAGTCTGCTTAGACACGTATTGCGATATTGCTGTGACGTCACGTTGTAGTGCAGATGTGCTGGGATAAGAGTGGTGTCCGGTGTCCAGGCGATGTGTCCTGCTCCTAGTCGTGGACGCGTTGACTGTGTTAGTAATCAGCCACTGAGTTGACGGCTGTATTACTTCGTTGTTAAAGTGATCTCCTGTGAATCGGTTGAACTGTGGGAGAGCGTGGTTAAGCTTAAAGTTAAGAAGTTAAAACTTGTTATACAGAAGGTACAGGGTGGGCCAAAAGTCAGTACCCATACGTTGGCCTTAATAGCTCCGCCGTGTTTTATATTTGAGAGCTGTTGCTTTGCTGATGGCATACTGTACTTACTGGTTCGAGGATTCCGTCGTCAAAATTTGAAAATTCGAATATTTTAGACCACGCCCATTCAATATTAAAACACCTATATTGTTTTCTCTGAACATGCTGAACACCTTATTTTTTCAGAGACGGTAGATTATCAAATATTGCATATGATCTGAAAACATGAGGCAAAACGGATTAGAAATGACGAAGTTATCAAGCATTTTCTGTATCTCGTTAACAAAATTGACTGGGTGATTATGTGACACCGTGACACGACACCTTAATTGGGCATCCATAACAATTCCCATAGTGTTTAACGGGGTAGTTAACGGGGTCACATTATCACGTGATTAGGTAAACCAATCAGCTGATCACACGTAATGAATGAACTCGTTATGCTTCATATCTCGGTCATCTGAGAAGCTACAGTTCTAATTCTTTCAGGACAAACGTAATTCGAATGGCCAAACACAATTCAATAACATTTAGCTTGATCCGACTATCCAAACTATCAAATTCATGTGAAAATGAACTTCCATTTGAAAAAAATGAACGCGAATATTTTTCGAGTTGACAAATTCCTCGAACCAGTGGTGGTACTAAGTCATACCAGAAGGAAGTATTTAAATTGGGCACTCAGTGACTGAGCTATAAAGGCCAACGTATGGGTACTGACTTTTGGCCCACCCTGTATAACAAATCCTCTCTACCAAAACGTTGAAAGAAGAAGTTTAAACTTGTTATAGTTATACAGAAGGTATAACAAATCCTCTCTACCAAAACGTTGTTTACCATACAGAAGGTATAACAACAATACATAATCATACAGAATTGAATTGTGAATGCTTTTAAATTATAACCCCAGTTATAAAAGTAGAAAACCGATATAGCCCTAATTTCCACTATCCCATGGCCCAGTATGAATATCGAAACCCAAATTATGAATTATGTATTGAAAGAGGGGTAATCTGGCCTTACCTGGGGCCGGGACCCCAGGCTAATATAATACTTTCCGGGAATTATATGCACCAAAACCCGTGGACACTGAGAGCTGAAAATTTGCAAATATATCTCGCAAGGGAAGCGAAGGTATTATTAGCATATATAATACTAATAGTGCATAGACAATAGACTGCCACCTCAGACTGGCTGGCGGCAAGTTTCAAAACAAATAACAGTGAGCACTATATATTACACACTATATAAATATTGTATCAAGCGCACGTATCACATTACACACATTCCAATTTCGGAAACGAAAAATATTATATCCTATAATACCCTGGCTATTTCGTGCCCGCACGTTCCCTCCAGCATGGCAAGCTGTCGGGAATTATCGCGTTCAGCACTCAGAAGCCAAGGTATTATGATATTATATTTATGTTTATAATCATAGTCAATCATCGTCAATCCGCCGAATAATAGAGATTCGGCGGAATGACAGGCTGAGCGCCGCCCGGTAACTCCAGATCCAATTGCAGTGTACCCATTACCCAAATTACTATGCGATGCAAAATTTATCGTATCAATTCCGTTTCTCATAATGAACTATTTATAATCGTTTATGGTTCGCCTCCTATTGAGATTAGAAATAAAACGAATATGACCACGGATGACAAAGGGAATGGCATGGCACGCCACCCAGAAAACCTTACCTGGGGACCTCAGGCTATTATGTTAATAGAGATTCGGCGGAATGACAGGCCACAGGCTGAGCGCGGCCCAGTAATAAAGAAAATTTTACTGCTTACCGGCTAAGCACTATTTCAGGCAGATTAGGACCTTACCTATCTAGCGACCTGCGACCTCCGGTTTTTTGCAAACTGGCGCGGTTTCCCCAAAAAGATCTTTGAAGAACTTGTTCCTTTTATTTCGAGTTATTTCAAATTAATGTTTCATTTATTTTGGGCCAAATTAAAATGTTCAAAAAATATAGTTTGTATGGCCATGGGAATTAACTTGCAGTAATTGGCATTTTGTCAGCCAATCCGTTGTATCAGGTCGTGACCCCCACAGTCGTTTCACTATCGTTTTTACGATACAGGGGGAGCCGCGCACTCGTGCGCGGCGGGTCATACAACGTATGACAACCAATCAGAAGGCTGGAATGAAGTCACGAGCACGCGTGCAACTTGTAGGCGCGATGACAAGCATGCTGTAAAGAAATGATCGCCTGGAGCACGTTCGTCAGCCGATAAAGATTTTTGGGCGGGTAATATTGACATTTGTGGTCGACTTCCGGAGCACTGATTCACAGTGCCGCGTTAAAGCAAACCCACTTTTGAGAAGCGCTTATGACAAGTTGCTCGATAGTGGATAGGAAACATAAACAATTTTATGCTCCGAATTCAGTGGCTTTTAGTCAATAAATTGTGAAAAGGGAAAGGCATATTTTTCAACAGAGACTATCAACTATACTATGATGTATGAGTACAGTATGTCTATACTGTTCATTAATTGATCAGTCTGCAATTCTTTTTGTGTTTGCCCGCTGGAATGCTAAAGCGTATGTTATGTCACTTTCAGGCAACTTTTAGTTCTAAATTTAGCAGCATCAGAAAACAAAATTTCTGCCACTTTGTCCCTCATAACATGCTTGCCTTAAATTCTTGTTTTGTTTTTATCATTTGGAATTGCGAAATGAAAAGGAAAATAACTTGATCTTATCGAGAGTGAAATGATTAAATATACTTTAGCTAAATATTATCCAAATCGCATACAGCAGTTGAGCAAACAATGGTTCTCTTATATTCAATTTAAATTGGTACCTTGAATGAAAACAAAATAAAAATAATTGAATACTCGACTAAAATTAAATCTCTTGCAATCGTTCCAATCCTTTCATAAAAAATTGAAGGTTAAACTCAATCAGAACAAAAATATTATGATAAACAACCTAAACGTCTCAACAAACATGCAAAAATTCCTAAATGAAAGGTCCACAGAATCAATAATCGCATCCGTAAAAGATGAGCTATCGGTCGATAATTGCGACAAAATGAGATAGTCTGTTTAAAAAGGCGGCGCACTAGCAGCGCTAACCGGTTAAGTTCCTGGTGGTCCTTTAGAGGGGGACTCGTTATCTTAGCAACCGAGATGTGGTTACTTTGCTGCTAGAGGGGGGGTTGCTTGGCAACCGGAGTCGTGTCACCTAGATGTGTCGGGAGACTTGTGAAGAGTAAGTGAAGTCTGTTAGCCTGTTTCACTACCACAGCTGCCTCGTCATGAAGCCATACCTGAGAGTTCGGGCTGTAAGTGAAAGTCTTCTTCTAAATCAAATCCGCAAAATGTTTCCCGATAAAATACCACTTCGATTGTCAAAGTTCAGACTAGGTCAAGCGGAGGCCAGGTTGCTGGGTTGCATCAACAGACATGCACAAATCACCGCACTAACAATGAATTAGCGCGTACGTACTAAGGTAGAGACACGTGATGCCCATATAAGGTATCATTAACTAGAGGCAGGCCTGAAATGTTTAACTCCAAATGGTCCGGAAATTAACAGCTAGGAAAGTTGAAAAGTTAAAGAATTCTTACCCTCTAGTTTGAATGGTCCGGAGGATCCCTGTTCTTTGGTCTCCCATGGAAAGGCTCTTTTCATCGCCTCGGCAGTCACAACCGAGTCTTTCTCCCAGGACAACCCACTCGACGACTGAAGAAAAGGAAGCGTTAATTATCTAATAATTAATTAAGTAATCACTTTTTAACATTTATACAGATCTACCAATTCTTTTAAACCTAACACTATGGTGCGACTTTATAGGTTTTCAGAGACAGATGGATTCGTGACATGCGGATAACGATAGGTTGGGGAGAATCTTCTTTTATCTATGACACAATACCGGTCTGATTCCGAAATATGTGGCAGACATTAAAACAGTGGCATGTTTCCCAGGATTTCTAGAATAGTCATTAGTAGGCATTTAGGTCCGTCCAAATCAACCATAACGGAAAACAATTTCCATAATCCGATCAACTATTAGAACTATAAGTCTCGGCTGATAAAATTATAGCCGCTTTTGTTAACGGATTTGGGACGGATTTTTAGTTTAATCGCGTTAAGGTGAAATATTATGAGCTCGAGAATTCATTGATTTGGTAGTAAAACATTCAGTGAGCGCTAAAACAGCTCCACCAAATGAACTTATACTGATTAAATCGTGATTATTAAGGGGGAGATTTCAACAGGGGACAGAATTTCTTGCAGAGCAGTTAGAGCAGTGAGCATGAAAATTTGTAGGGTGAAATCATTCGAATTTCGGAGGGCTAAAATGAAAATTTGATTGGAGAAAAAGGCGACATAATACCGTTCTGCCCACGATGCAATCAAATAAAGTCAGAGGGCATCTAGATTCTAGAAGTGTAGCAGCTTCAACGTGAAAACCTTTCTAATTGTAATGAGCAAAATTTGTAAAACATCGATGCTCTTAGTACGATAGATATAGAACATAGCACCTAAAATGTGTACCCCGCGTTGTGTATCTACCTGCGGAGGGTTGAAGATGGTGTTGGAGTTTGAGTTGAGGATTCGTCCCACTTGTTCGTTCAGGTGATTCTTCATGAGATGTTGCTTCAGAGCCTGTCTGTGTACGAAACCTTGGCCACATGTGGTGCACTTGTACGGTCGATTACCTAAACACACAATATAATGGTCAGTTTGAGATTTTCTAGACTGATAGAGATGTGGACTTTATTATGCTAGAACTGCCATCATCATCATGTGATCATCATGTGATACAAAGGCGTGACACGTATTTAAAGTTTAACATTTCAGCCAACACAGATGTCAAAGGTTCAGTCTCACTATTAAAGACCTCTTATTGTTTCTGTCGGCCAACTCGGCGCCTGGAAACAAGCTGAAACTATCAAACTAACCGGTATGAAGATAAGAATGGTAGGTGAGTCCACTTTTCTGTGCAAAACGTTTGCCGCAGACGTTGCACGCGTACGGTCGCTCCCCCGTGTGGATGCGCATGTGTCGGATGAGCGCGTCGTTAACAGCGAACTGACGCTGACAAATCTGACAGCGGTAGGGTTTCTCGTTGGTGTGGGAACGGTAGTGCAGAGACAGCTGTGTGGGAGAATGGTTAGGAGGGTGTTGCTTAAAGAGAGAGAGAGATAGAGAGAGAGATAGATAGAGAGAGAGAGAGGGAGAGAGAGAGAGAGAGAGAGAGAGAGAGAGAGAGAGAGAGAGAGAGAGAGAGAGAGAGAGAGAGAGAGAGAGAGAGAGAGAGAGAGAGAGAGAGAGAGAGATAGAGAGAGAGAGAGAGAGAGAGAGAGAAAGCTAGAAATAGTGGTGACAAACACAGTTACAAACATCACAGCTACTCAGAAGAAGGTATATCAGTGCAACAGATACGATTATAATCTGCAAATTTGAGAACATCAAGATGGGATTCTGAAAATATTGGTCAACTGTCAAGTATCCATACCTGGTGCTGTTTGTCGAAGCTGGACGGGCATTTGTCGCATTGGAACTTTCTCTGGGGATGCAGGTCGAGGTGCTTAACGTACTCCTCCTTATCCAGGAAGCTTTTTCTACACTGACGGCACTGGTAGGATTTGATACTGTGAACACATATCATATGGGCTCGGAGCTGAGGGAAGAAGTTGGGGCTAACATTACTGATATCACGAGGCAGCCCACGTGCGGAATAGTATAGACCACGTGCTAGACCACGTGCTAGACCACGTGCTAGACCACGTGCTAATTAAATATATGGGTATTTATCGTGCGGGCAATACTGAACTCATTAGAGGTAAAAAGGCGTGTAAAAAGTGATACTGTACTAACAATTTCATAGTAAGTACTGTAAATGCAATTTATGAATCAGATATTTGAAGAAAGAAAAAAGAGAGTTAACTCACCTTGCTGCCGTAGCTGAAAGAGGCGTCACAGTGCTGGCAGTTGTATTCTCTTTTGTCGAAGAAACCACCGTTTGAGGGAATCATGACAGGGATCTCAGACCTGGCAGATTGAGAGAATGAGACTTTAGATATTTGTATGTAATCATCCATAAAGTGTAAGATACCATTCTCACGATCTTCATGATCGTTTTTAAAATATTCGAATTTTCTTACTACAGTCTCCATGATAGTTTGAGAAATTCTTTTGAATCGGCCCAAATTGTTGCAGAAAGACGGCGCCAAAAAGTTTTAAGAAGGTCAATTTTCGAACATAGCTGAAACATGTCAACTTACAATCTCTGGGATATTCCAGAGCAGTTTTCTGCTCATTCTTACCTTGGTTCACAATCCTTGGTGGTCTGTTGCAGGGTTGACGGAAAAGCCGGGATGTTTCCTTGAGCTATTGCCGCGCTAAGGAGCAGTTTTTGTAGTTCGTACTGCACCTGAATTATTAGATATAATTACGGTATAATATAAGATAATCGGGATCATTATACTAATAATCATTCCATATCAGTATCATCGTAATGGTGATTGTTTTGCGATACGAGAAAGGGATACAAATAGGTATGAGGCGAATCAAATTCTCTAAAAATTTCCTATTTTCCGTGTTTGTAGGTGCCAAATAAAACTCTATATTTTTTGTCACGCACACCAGTTGATCTAATTTACAAATTTTCGTAGCTCGGCAATTTTTGACATCTCCATTGTTTTTAACACGGCGTACTGCGAGGGAAAAAAGTTCAACAACAAGTGGCGCCCTTATTGAACCTACTTTTCGCTAATTCTACTCTTGTAAAAATACTAATACAGAATAAACTGCAAAATTTTCTTTTGTTTGCCATGTTCAGAGAAACGCCAGGTGTTTTCAAGGTGGGAACTTCAGAACGAAGATAATAATTTTTGGAATAAATGTCAAAAACTTGTAAAATATGGCACCCGGATTCATCTTATTCTAGAAGGAGAATACATAACACATTACTTTATAATAGACTTTTGGAGAATACGGCACCAACTGCGATTATAGAAAATAGGACAACAATTAAATTTGCAAAAAGACATAGTTTAACACGTCAGGCCAGCAACTTTCAAACATGGCCAATTTTTCTAGCCTTTGATCCTAGCAACAAAGAGTGAAAGTAAAGTTGTTATGTCTCAAAAGGGTCAAACTTAAGCGGACATTCTTTGAGGGAACCGCGATTTTGAAGTGAACAGTGGATAATTTGAGAAGTTGACATAACTTGACTCTCCACGCGAATTTCATTATAAGATTTCGACATCATGTGCCTTAATCCCACTTAATTTGTATTCCACTGGATCAGAAATTTTCAAAGATACCCAAATTTCGACTAATCTGTCAAGCTCCAATATTTCTTTCTATGACATCGGTCATTGACAGATAATAACGAGTATCTAACACGATCTCGCACTTACCGATGGATCGATGAATCCGTTGGTGGCGAGAGAGGCCTGTATTTTCTCGTGGATAGAAGTAGGGGAGAGGTTGAGGGGTATGGGAGTGATTGGAGTAGTGTGGGACAGAGACGGGGAGGAGAAGCTTGGTTCCGCGGTGGAGGGATTACTCTGGGACAAATTGTTAAGTTAGTTGGATTACTCTGTGACAAATTATTAAGTTAGTTGGATTATAATCATTGAGTTAGAGTTAGATTTTACAAATGTATGAGATTAGTTAAAGTTTAACCTCATGGGATGATGAAATAGCAATATAAGTAATACAACACAGTCAACCTGACAATTGGAGCAATAGCTATGAGGGAGCAGAGATTCGTTACAAAGAAACAATAGACAACAAATATATAACAGACAAATATATCTCATACATATAACAGACAAATATATCTAGATACTCATACACATGTATATCTAGATACTCATACACATGCCAGACAATTATCACCAGTGACCAGATAATAGGAAATTAATCCCGGTGCAGCAACACTATTTAATGGGTACATAGTTTGAGACCCAGTAACCGTAATACACTCAGAATAAAGTAATGTAAGACTTACCATCTCTTCGAATGAACGGTTAAGTTCTGGGTCACTTTCAGGTTCAATATCATCCTCCACGTCATCTACAATATTAACATCCTCGTCCCCAGCTGTGTCCTGTTTCCCCACTGGGAGTTGCTCTGAGCTAGCTGTTTCTACCTGGAAATGTTAAGTTACAGAACAATTTATTAGAGTTGCCAATTCTAGGATGTTAGCTTGATGACTTGGACGTTCTGAATTCTAAGGAACCGCAGTTAACAGTGATTTAACACAGTCTGAAAATAATTATCAATTTAGCCCAATAAAAAAAGTTTAACTCTTCATTGGACGGATGTATGTGATGAAGTCTAAAATTTTCAACTATAAGCACACAGCAAGTGACACAGCAAGTGACACAGCAAGTGACACAGCAAGTGACATTGGACAGATGGTGTGTTGTTTTGAAAGGGTGTGACATTGCTACACTAACTAAAAACAACTCTCTCTCTCTCTCTCTCTCTCTCTCTCTCTCTCTCTCTCCCTCTCTCTCTCTCTCTCTCTCTCTCTCTCTCTCTCTCTCTCTCTCTCTCTCTCTCTCTCTCTCTCTCTCTCTCTCTCTCTCTCTCTCTCCCTCTCTCTCTCTCTCTCTATCTCTCCAGAGAGACACAAGTATGCTATTGCAGTCTGTCTGTTTTAGGATTTACTTGCTCAGCATTTCGCGGTCATTACTATACTTTTTTGACCTTCAACCGACCGCCGTAAAAATTGTCAGAACTAAATCGTAGGGTTGCCATTGTTAAATACAGCTAAAGACCTTTAACCCGAGCTAGTCGCCTACCAGCCTCCCCCGATTTGACAGAAGATTAATGAAGACTCCTGGTGACCTGCTGAACCAGTGCATACTCAATTATCACTGATACAGTATATATTTTAACCGTTTTAGAGCATACTTTTCAGTCACCTGGTATACACAAAATCGTTTGAAGCTGGTCGATAATTTGAGGTAGCGAGTGTGTGTACAAGCTTGAGAGTGATCATGATTCCAGATGCTGCTGGAATATTACACTCTCTCTAGATCAGCGCACGTGCTATTAGTTAAAAAGAGTATCATATGGTCTAAAGCTAAATATATCATTATTATCAGAGACTGTAGCCACCCTCTCTACCCTGAGTACACGTGCTACTCCTTCGTCAGACCGGCCCAATTAGCGAGTGTTTCACGAATTTAAAACCACCAGCTATTGTTTTGACTAGTATGGTTGTGTGACTAAATCTAACTGAAGAAGAGGACGCACTTAACTTGGTGTTAAGTAGAGGATAATGGGTGGGGAGGCGGGAGGGCGCTTAGTGTATCATTGAACTATGTCCAATTATTACACGTATGTTATTAAAACCGAGCCCTAATGTGAGGGGGCGATGTGAAATTCACATAACATAGGAGCATATCATGAGGCTTAAATAGCTATTTTGCTAGCAATGTAAGCTAAATGGAGGGGTTGATAATTTCAAATATTGCTGGTAATTGATGCGGGAATTTGTTAATGATCAGACCGAAATTGATAGGTCACAGGGGGAAATAGTTGGTATCTGATGCACTTTAAGACAAATGACCCGACCAATTTATACGTGACAAATTGTGAATTAGCACAATTGATGACTGTTTATATGCGATGACTAATCATTAAATCGATGAACAAATTTACAGTCAATGACTCAATATATATCCTGAAATTGGTAGAATTTATATCCAGAAATGATGTAAAATCACATGATTTCAGAAATTCCAGAAAATCTAACAAATATTAAAAAATTCGACATTATGCACAAAAATATTAAAATTTCTGTAGAAAAATTTGCAGCATGGTAGAAACACATTAAAAAACCGGAAACTAAAGATATTAAATTTATCTACCTCCATTCGAGACTCCGCCTTAGACTCCTCATTTCTTCCTTCTTCCTCTTCTTCCATCTTTGAGAGTTCAGGAACATTTTCCTTTTCTTCGCCTTCTTGACGAGGAGCTTGCGACTGAAATAACAACAAATCATTAGCCCGGCTTACGAGCGGAATTACACGTTTAAGCCGCTAAGTTCTTCGTAAAAACAACCTGAGTTAGTCGAGTCACTTGAAACTAAAACCGGGTGCCACGAAGCTGCGAGGTAATCGCCAGAACGCACAATGACGCATGAAAACGACTGTAAAAAACATCACGAAAATAAAAAATAGGTCAATAGTAATTAGTGAAATAGTTATGGGGACGCATGACTTACTTAAACTTGCTTATTTACCGTTAATATTAAATAAACTCATTTTGAGAGTGAATATAAGAATCAATCACATACTAGCAACAGTATGTAACACTTACCTTAACATAAGGGTTGAACATGGAGGGTCTGCTTAATCCGTAGATAAATGACAGTCTGTTAATGTAATCTGAAACTGGTCCGTTGGTGTCCGGAGCAGGAAATGGGTTGGGTTTAGAAACTCCGGGGAATTGATCGGGGATTGCACCCGGCATTTCCGGCAGTGAGGGGGCTGATTTTCCGTCCCTGAAGGAGGAACATGGGGTTAGAATTTTGAAACATTCTGTATTTGTCATCCTTACTGCTAACCGGACACGTATTCCAGTAAGTCTTCCGGACGTTTGAGGTACCTAACTATATTTTGAATCACTATACTAGACAGCGCTAACTCAAAATCCGATTATCTTTCCGTCAATCCTTTTCTCTAAAAGTATTTCAAGCAAGAATTGGTATTGTTTTCTCCAGCCACCTAGGCTACCCAAATATCTTACGTAATTAGAAACTAGACTTTTCAAATTTCAATCATATCTCATATCGGTGGCAGTGTCAATTATCAAAATACAGAAATATGTACAATTATGGCTATTTGATGGTTGTAGGAGGTGCAGGAGAGGTGAAGAGTGGGCACAATGACTGCTGAATAGTGACAGCGTCAGGAAGCAGTGTAACCCTCTAGTATTATCCTCTAATTGGTTCAGTAGACGGGGATTCTCGCAGAGATAAGTGGGAGGGAACTAATGAGGTCAAAATGATGATCGATTTGACGCTATTGTTACGAAGTGCCGCGAAGCCATATTGCACATACTCTCGAGCGTCAGGGTTCGGTTTAAAAATCGAATTTTGTAAGACAAAGGTATTTTATTAATAATCGGACACTTGAATATGTCAACAAATTAAAATCTTCAATAATTCAGGGCATGCCTGATAGACTAGGATTTGACACAGAACTATCAGACCAAGCAGTGTTGCGCTCTTCTTTTCCAGAGGTGCAAATGGACGTCAATAAAAATATAGATATGTAATTTTTGGTAGAGATGGAAATAGCTTAATGTCGTTTTGCGACAATTTTCAGGGATATTGGCGAAATTGTAGCCCTTATAAGCCTAGGACATGGGATATACTATATTATATACTATAATATAGCGATTCAAATATAAGCGATTCCACGGAAACAATTGGGGATCCATTCAAGGAAACGCGTTTCCTGGTTGCAGTGCTATAGCTCCGACGTTCTGGGTTTAAATTGCACGTGGAAAAAGTTTGAACGATAGAAATATATTTGCAAGGCTGTTAATTGCATGTTGGCGAAACTAACTATCGAATTGACGCATTGCGCCGTGACTTTGACGGTGTTGTCATCTAGCCCTGCACCCAGCTAGGGCTTGACCTTTGACGGCAACAAGTTTACATTCCAAATAACCATCCATTAGCGGAAAACTAAAACAACAAAGAAACAATCAAGACTTTTGCGTTAATGTCGACGTCTTAATAAACCTAACAATTAATGTCGGTGCTTATTTCTGGTCCACATGTGCAGCTGCCTTGAAAGTAACTCACGTTCAGTTGAAAAATCATAATTCTGAGGAACGAAAAAAAGGCAAAATCGAAACATGAGCAGATAAGAATAGTTGGTGAGATGGAGTGAGCTGGGTTTTTATAGAATACAGAAAATAAGAAATGAGTGTTACTTACGTGATGGTGGGACGTTGCATCAGAGATTCCACCGATACGATGGACAGTTTCTTGTCCAGATCAGATCCAGCACTGTTCAGTGCTTCCGTCACGATCCCCTTCATCTTGTCAACTTTATCCTACAGGAATTCCAAATTAGTTTACTATGTTCTACTAAGTAAACTAATTAATCCTTCTGTTACGTTACGTTCGCAAATAACCCAAGTCTAGTTTATTGCCTTAGTAAGCCCAGCTTCGCAGGCTTATAATGTTACGGGTATAACTATACGGGTCACGCTTCCCTGCAGATTGTTTGTGAATATATAAAACAAACTCCGTCTATTCACGGGAGCTGTTTAGAATTGTCTAATTATGAGGAGTGATTAATATATTTAATATATGTTTGGATTCCAATGCACCAAATCGACTGTTCAACACTGTCAATCAACGGTAAAATTCAAGACTACCAACATCCGACCACCCACGGTCAGCAGGACCGGAGCATATTTAAAATAATCCGGTTTAAAAGCTCGGTTTAAAAGCGTACGCTAAATTCAAAAAGTCTAACTGGTGACAGTGGCACAAAAGGTAAAGCTATCTCCAAAATATTTACTTACGCTGTCGGTGGAGTAGGTTTTCATGGCCTCCTGTAGGGTGTCCTTTATTCTGTCTACCAGCATGTTACACAGCACGTTACAAAAGAGGGCCGGGTCCGGGGCCCCCGGTGATGCTGGTCCGGGACTGGTCAGGGTTTGTGTTGACTTGTCTGATCCTGAGGAGTGAGACGTGTTACGTGGCTGGTTAATGAAAATTATTCAGGAAATATTTCCCATATTTGGTGGGAGAGAGAGAGCAGAGTGGCGTCAAATGTGGCAGGAATGTTCCAACATAACTACCCAAAAATCAATTTTACACACAGTCACGTTTTACGCGGCAGATAATTTAAGATCATGAATACAGGGAATACCGATAAATTTAATAAAACACACAAGATATAACGGACCGCTCGTCAGTTGTACGGACACACAAAAACAGTGATCAAGAGGGTTGAGGAATATAATGTGTACCTGATTTGGGGCTACTGACAACGGGACTGGTCCTCTGAGTGGGAAGGAAGGTCGGTGCTCCGAGGAAGGGCGTTTGGAAACCTCTCATGACATGAGAGCTGCCGTTGAGCTGTCCGGAGATGAACGGAGAGGAGGAAGATACCATGAGTGGTTGAGAGGTCAACTGGTTTGGTGAAGACGACACGAACAGTTGTGATGACGACACGAGGTTCTGTGGTGACGTCACGTGGTGTTGTGATGACGTCATGTTGTGTAGGGGAGAGAGGGAGGGCGAGATGCGGGGAGTTGGTTCTAGGATTGACGTACTTGTATTGATCATCCTGAGATCGAGAGAAATATGTTATTTTCAAACACTAAAATGAATATCATTTTAGTGTCAATCGTGACGTGAATAATGTGATATATTATAACAATTGCGACCAAATAAGAGAGTTTGTCCTTTGTCAAGTCGCCTGCAATCCAATATACGGAGACTAAAACGTTTTAACTTTTCAAGGTTTTCAGACGAATTTCTGTTGAATTTGATATATAGTATTAGTAATACAATGAGCAGTGAAAAAAGCTGAGTGCTATATATAGTTAAGAAGATCAAATCACGGCCGGACATTGTTGACGGTGATTAAAGCTAAAAGCTTAACCTAACAGTGAAACCCGACCTTTCAGCAATATAAACCCCGACTGGTTTTATAAAGGAGTAAATGATGTGACAAGTATACGCCATCTACATATATTAAATCTATCAAATTGAGCAATTTAAAATTAAACTAGAACACGAGAACCCCGTCTCCCACAACATTGCTTTTAACACTGTATCGTAACAACTTTCACAAATGTGATTGAATAACGACCTCGATATATACTAGACTCAATCTATGCTTGGTCTGTGCCACAGCTAATTTAGAAATTTGTGAACACAATTGCACACACTTTCACAGTATTTACTAAAAATTTACTCTAAATCAAAGAGCGAGGGTCTCTTCTCCGAACACCTGCTTCACAGCAGACAAACAACAAAACAGTTCCCGACTACAAGTCAGCAGCTCCACCAGGTCTAATCCCCTGGATCTCGCCGAATTTTGAGTGGAGGAGAACCTCCAAAGGATTGGAGAGCGGGTTTTGTTCGGGTCACGGGTCAACAGCAGATAAGTGCGAAAACGTAATAATAGAATTGTTTTGTATGATATGGCACGCGGCTGACAGTACTGAGTTGTTCGACCTACTTTATCTTCGAGATGGGGGTGTTGCGAAATATAAGTACACCAGTCAACACTCAGCCTGAACATGTTCAACATTAGATCTGTATTGTCTTCCAGACTCGATAGTTGTGAAGAAACTCAACTTTAATGCGCTTTGTTGACCATGCATTATGTATGGTCAATTTGTCAACAAAAATAAAGGTAGCACTTATAAGTCACAGCAAAGTTTGAATTGAAAAAAACGAGCTACCCTTCTGATTGGCACGTTTCGATTCACAAAGGCAAAGTAGCTGCATATGATAATTATTGAGATGAGAAATTTAGCTGCTTTAGAACTTTTTAGGTCAAATTTACCAACGAATCTCTGCTCGTCGCAGAGGGAAATTAATACACAAAAAAAAGATTGGAAGAAAAATTCGAGGATAGATATTGGCTAAAGTGAGTAGTGTTGGACGTTGGTACTCTCATGGCGTTCTCAGTCAAGGGGAACGTTGAAACAAAAATGTGTGTCGGGGTGCAACCACGTACCAGCAGATGAAACTTGATGATCAAAAAAGGAAGTTGTCAAGATGAGCATACACACGGTGTAACATTATAACCGGAACTTTTAGAATAGCCACCAGAAGAGAGCGGATAAACTTAATAAGTTTTCCGCGGAGGATACCTATTCGAGCGGAGATTGGAAGTAAACTTCAAAAATGAGTCCTCAACCGAAATAGGTCGGGCTATAAGGGGGTGTCGCGCATGCCATCAGCCAGTTTGTCAGAAAAGGAGACAGAGAGAGAGAGAGACAGAGGAGATGTGTCAAGAATGGGATGAAAAGCAATTCAATCACAATGATCTGTCACACCTCTCCCTCACCTCCCTCGCTCGGGGAGGTTTTCTACCGTTTTGACAAAACCATACGTAACACTGCGACATACAAACGGCGACCATGTTCCAATTACAATTCACGGTTTGATGGGCAGCCAGAGCCGATCCTTGCTAATGAAGAATTTGGAGTGACAAATGGAGGATAATTATCGGTGATTGTATTGAATCTGGCTTTATTTTCTCAGGGCAGGGTGACAGCCAGCTGTATTTTTATGTTTGGTCAACAAGTAATACGTTTGCTGATCTCCGCGCTCGACAAAATATTGCAGTTTATTCGGGCTGGTTGAAGCTAATAAATGAGAGCAAGGAATGGAAATAACGAGCAATTGCTTCATCAAGGTCTTTATGTATCATGCAAACCAACATCTGGTAACAAAATCGAACTAAACACATGAGTCGGAAAATTGGCTTTAATCTAAATGCTAGGTTGGCGAGCAGGAGCTCCCGTAAAATTTAGGAAGAACTAGCTATCTAGCTAACTGGCCGCTCCTTATCATGAGCAATCATTACCTTCAATCTAAATCACCAAATGGGGGTCAGAAATATAACCGAAGAACCATAAAACCACATGCTTAGCATCATCTTGGTATGAAAATTGTGAATTAAATACCCATTTTATTTAAGCAAAAGTTAACTGAGCAAATTAGGATCTCCATCCAGCAAGTAACAACACCTATATTTCTGCCAATGTCGATTGACGATGATATAATGATACTAAAACGCATTAAGTTAAAATTCAGATAACATTTAAGTAGGCTATAATATGCCAAAGAGTGTTTTAGTGACTTGAAATAAGTATAAGTATTTACTTATATGATCTGCTTCGGCAAAATAATTTCAACATTTAAACGGAAATGGGAATCAGGTTCAAAACCACTCCTTAATTGATTAGCTACTAGCAAGATTGCACTGTCAAACACTTATCCGAAAAAGAGGGTTTCTAAGAAGCCACGATAAAATATTTGGCGAATCTGGTGATGACTTTAACAAGCTGCGACAAAAATAATGTTGCCCAAGTAGAATCGAACGCAAACAAAAAATATAGACAAAGGATCAACTTTCCTCAAAAGAAATGCTTAAATTTCATTATTGAGACAATCAATTCCAACCAAAGAGTTATTTTAAAGCTCACTGGCTCCGAAAACGATTTCACTGAAATTTTCAAGATCGTCACCCGCGGGTTGGAACTTTTTGTAATTGGTAACGGATAGCTAAGCGATGTCCATAATTCAGTTTAGGGAAACATTTTAGACATAAAATATTTAAATATGATTCGGAACAAAATTACTAATATCATCTTATAACGAGGTATCCGGTGATTTTTAGCAAAACATGGCCTCAAAGTCTAAAATAATAATATTCAAATTAGATCACTCAGAGATATACTCCGCCCGGGCATGAACAAGTCCCAGACTTGACGACACTAATTCAAATTTTCGTGCCCTACGGAAATTAAGTGTAGTTAAATTTCTGGCTTGATAATGACAATAACCCCATAAGCGAGCCCTATCGTCTATATCGAGGTGAAATTTAAAAATTAGCCCAGAAAGCTGATCAAGTGCTGAGAAAAAGAGCATGGTTTGACCCCCGGAGGGCGGAGAGGGGTGAGTGTGTTGATAACGACAGCTATGTGTCATGGAGCTCACCAAAGTCGAGCATCAATTAGACACTTAAATCGGCCGAAGCCTACCTCAGTGCTAAACAACAACGCATTTTAAACAAACTATCTTCCCGTAATTTGGGGTATATTGAACTCTAACAAAACAAATCTGCGTACCGCTGCTGCGCAAGTTTAAAACTATCGTCAAATTTGGGTTGGTAAGCTGACTACTGACGCCGTCAGAAGGTCGGAATCTTGCTTTTTGGACCACTTTTACAGGGGGATATAACACTGTGGAGCAAGAGGGATTGTTTTAAAGTTCCCGACTGTCATCACCACCTGAGTTTAAACTGCACGTGTGTGGGGGGTTCCGATGCCACCCTTCAAAAGGTGCATTCTCATTGGGTCCTTGCAGTCACGTGATGGGGACCGGTGGATTGGGTTGGAGGGGATCCCTGAAGTTGGTTTGATTTAGGAGGAGCTGCGGTGTTTGTTGTGACAGTACTCCTCGCTCCAAGTTCCGGATACCACTATCCACCCTGATCCTCCTCCTCGACCACCACGAGAGGCAAATTGTTACTCGTCAACAGGATGTTTTAAACAGAAATAAAATGTAGAAACTATTTGAATTTATCTGGGCGACCCCGTGTCAACTGAGATGTAGTGAGTAGTGATGGATAACACGTTTAACAGAAGGTTTTAGCAATTAGGATAGACGGACAACTCCAGGCACTCAAATGTTTTCAATGAACAAGAAACACGGGTTCAGCGCACTACCCCTGAAGTGAGGAAGAGAGGAGAAAACATTACCTCGGAACTGAGGAGGAGAGGAGAATTATTTAAACTTAGGATAGCGGCATTTCTATAAATATTGCAACACATAAACATGATGTTGCGTAATTGAAGTGCTGTAAGTTTTCGAAAAAACGGACTTGAAGGTCAGGTGATTAACTCATATGTTTTTTTCCGAAACTTTTTTTGGTGGTGACAACTTAAATCGCGCAGATTCAACATGTTTGAAAGGACAGAGTTAAATAACAAATTTTAACAAAACAGCTTTTGCCACCCACTCATCAATTTTGATTTTGGACAGCATTTGTGTAAGCAGATTTCAAAATTGTTCACCAAATGCTTATGCAGTATTTTGGTCTCATGACAAATATTCAAAACATTTCCGGTATTTGGCAAGTTTGTGGTTAATTAAGTTCCTCTGGAAAATTGATCCTCTCAAAGAGACACTACTTAACGCCTACAAGTCTGAGGATCAGTGAAATAATAGGTCATGATGGGTGCTAAGTGAGACGAAGTGGATCATCGCCCCAGCTCATAACTTGTAAGTTTTGGAAAAACTGCCTGTCACAAGCGGGTCGTTATTTCATTTGCCGATATTTTGACAGGAAAGTATTTTTGTTCCCTATGTAAGAATGTAACGAATGCTCTGTACCCATTTGTATTTGATCAGCTGTCTAGGGAATAGCCGAAGTGCACACCCGGAGTCTCTCATTGTGTGGGACGTCATCACAACACCACGTGACGTCATTAGAAGTTATGGTGATGCAAGGTTTCAGGGCTGACTGTAAAATTACAGCTTCAGTGCTTATCTCTCAGGACTATATGAGGGCTGGTGAAGGATCAAAGAAGGCTGGATATC